ATGAGTGTGGTGATCGGTTTTATGGTTATTGCTATGATTTTATGGCTCAGTAAATGTTTACAGTCTTTTATTGTAAGTCACTTTGTAAAATGAGAGCCAAATATGAGCTAGACAATAAAACTACATGCTCCGGCCTCTCGTCTCTGGAATTTCTCTTGGCCAACAAGCAAGCCTACAATCAGTACAAGCAGCTCCAAAGGAAATCATATCAATGCCCATTTTGGACTAAACCAGTGGTCCTCAACCTTCCTAATGCTGTAAACCTTTAATACAGTTCCTCGTGTTGTGGTGACCCCCAACTATAACATTATTTTCATTACTACTTCATAACCTTTTTTTAAAAAAAAAACAATTATTGAATTTTAAGGGGAAAAGAAAAAAGAAAGTAGAGGGAAAGAAAAGGGGGATAGGAAAATTTTATGGGTAGGAAAGAGGGAGGAGGAAAGAGGGGAAAGCTATGGTTGAAAGGGTATAGAGATGTCCCTACTGATGGGGGTGGGAGTGGAGCAACTAGAAGGGAAGGAAAGGTTAAAAAAGTGGGGTAAAAATGGGGAAAAAAGAGGAGAAGAAAAAGGATTAATGAAAAGAAAAAGAAAAAAAAGGAAAAGATAGCCAAAATATGTAAAAATAAGAATAAAAATAAAAACTTCTGGTTGACTTCCGATTCTTTTCCTGTCCGGGAAGTTAGTCTCTTACATATACGTTGTAATTAATCTCTCCGTCTTCTCATAGTTGCATCATGTCCATCTATTTTTTTAATTGTCTAGTAAAATCCAATCTGTAGAGCATTTGGGTTTGCCTTAATGTCCTTTCAAGAAGTAAGTTAGTCTGTCCATATTCTTTATATCCATTATTTTTAATTTCCTTTCTTCTTTCTCTTGTCTTCCAATGTCTTGCAAGCACAATTCTGACTGCAGTTATCATATAATTGAACAGAATATCTTGATTCTTGTTCAAATTCTTAGCTACTTCATAACCTTAACTTTGCGACTGTTACGAATCGTACTGTAAGTATCTGATATACAGGATGTATTTTCATTCACTGAACCAAATTTGGCACAAATACCCATGTGGAACACCGGTAAATTTGTACTTTGATAGAAAATAGAGACTTCAAAAGTATTTAGAGCAGTGGTTTTCAACCTTCCTAATGCTGCGACCCCTTAATACAGTTCTTCATGTTGTGGTGATTCCCAACCATAAAATTATTTTAGTTGCTACTTCATAATTTTGCTACTGTTATGAATCGTAATGTAAATATCTGACATGCAGGATGTATTTTCATTTATTGCACCAAATTTGGTACAAATACTCAATATGCACAAATTTGAATACTGGTGGGGTTGGGGGGATTTATTTTGACATTTGGGAGTTGTAGTTGCTGGGATTTATAGTTCACCTACAATCAAAGAGCATTCTGAACTCCATCAATGATGGAATTGAACCAAACTTGGCACACAGAACTCCCATGATGGACAGAAAATTTGGAAGGGTTTGGTAGGCACTGACCTTGAGTTTTGGAGTTGTAGTTCACCTACATCCAGACAGGACTGTTGCCCCAGTAATGAGAGATCTGGACCAATACGTATGCCCAAATGTGAACACTGGTGAAGTTTGGGGGATAAACCTTGACATTTTGGAGTTGTAGTTGCTGGGTTTTATAGTACACCTACAATCAAAGAGCATTCTGAACCCCACCAACAATAGTATTGGGCCAAACTTCCCACACAGAACCCCCATGCCTTGAGAGGACTTATTGGTATGAGCCTCCCTCCAGCTTCGCACGCTCTCCCTCATTTGCACATGTACACTATGCTACCATGCGCTGAGCACACCTTCTCTCCCCTCCCCACTTGGGAGTCTCAGAAACAGCCCTCCCCTTGGCTGAGAGGTCGGCCAAGAGGCTGGCCAATCACAGTGGAGAAGGGCTTTCGGTGGGAGCATTTGCCATCTGTTTCCAAAAAATAAAAAGACAGGCGGAGAGATTTTCAGCCTTCTCTGCCAATTATTTATTTATTTATTTATTTATTTATTTCGCGTATTTCTACCCTGCCCTTCTCAACCCCCGAGGGGGGACTCAGGGCAGCTTCCCAAGGGGTTCCTAAGACTATCAGAAATATGTGTTTTCTGATGGTCTTTGGTGACCCCTCTGAATCCCCCTCATGACCAGCCCCCTCCAGAGGTCCCGGCCCTCAGGTTGATAAATGCTGGGCTAAACCAATTGCTCTTACTCCTCTCCAAGTGGATATAGGGTGACTTAAACCTGCTCCAGATTTAGATCTGGACTGTTTGTATCCACAGGGTTAAACCTTAGGGCTTGAACGGGATCAGTACCACAGAGAGCTCATTTCATGTTCAGACTGAAACTCAGAGTGGATACACCAACCCACCTGCATAAAAGCTACCAGTTGCCATTGGAGTTGCCACCCCAGGACTTCATGTGTTGCATGACAACCAAAATGAGTTGCTTTGAGCAACATTCTCACTCTGACTAATAATTGGGCTGGCCCTGCAGTATCGAAATGACTTCATTTGCTCAAGTCGGAATAAACAAGGAATATGAGTCTTTTTCTTCCTGGAACCTCCTGGTACGCCTCGAGGGAAAGGCATTTATCACATTTCTGAGGTTTGGATATGAAATTGAAAGGCACACACTTCTCCCACTGTTTCTTATCTCCTGGCAGCTGACTGGTCATTCACGCACAAAGTGGCTGCAAGTTGTTGTACCGAGCAGATGATGTTGACCAAAGCCTAGTCAAGTTACTTTGTTGGCCACAGCTCCCAAAATGTCCTCACAAGCTTGATCGCAATTTGTGTTGAACCTCTGGATTCTGAACAATGTAGTCCATCAATCTTATTTTACCACTCCCTGTTGCAGATTGATCAAAAGACACATACCGTATATACTCGAGTATAAAAAGGTAAAGATAAAGGTAAAGGTTTTCCCTTGACATTAAGTCCAGTCATGTCTGACTCTGGGGTGTGGTGCTCATCTCCATTTCTGAGCTGAAGAGCCGGCGTTGTCCGTAGACACCTCCAAGGTCATGTGGCTGGCATGACTGCATGGAGCGCTGGCATGACTGCATGGAGCGTATAATTATATATATATATATATATGGGAGCCCCCGGTGGTGCAGTGGGTTAAAGCACTGAGCTGCTGAGCTTGTTGATCGAAAGGTCGCAGGTTCGATTCCGGGGAGCGGTGTGAGCTTCCGCTGTCAGCCCTAGCTTCTGCCAACCTAGCAGTTCGAAAACATGCAAATGTGAGTAGATCAATAGGTACCGCTCCAGCGGGAAGGTAACGGCGCTCCATGCAGTCATGCCGGCCACATGACCTTGGAGGTGTCTACAGACAACGCTGGCTCTTCGGCTTAGAAATGGAGATGAGCACCACACCCCAGAGTCAGACATGACTGGACTTAATGTCAGGGGACTACCTTTACCTTTTTATAATCGAACCCAAATATAAGTTGAGGCACCTACTTTTACCACAAAAAACTGGGAAAACTTATTGACTCGAGTATAAGTGAGAGAGGGAAATACAGCAGCTACTGGTAAATTTCAAAATGTTTTTGGATATCTATGTGAAACTGTAATTTAAGATAAGACTCTGTCTAACTCTGATTATTCTAACTTTCTTCAGTGTAAATGTGCTTATGTATCCTTCCAATAATAATAGAGTAAAATAATAAATGTAATAACAATAATAGAGAAAAATAATAAATATAATAACAATAATAGAGTAAAATAATGTAAATGGAATAATAATAATAGAGTAAAAATAAATGTAATAATAACAATAAATAATAAATATAATAACAATAATAAAGTAATGTAAATGTAATAATAATAATAATAATAATAATAATGTAAAATAATAAATGTAATAAAATTAATAACAGAGTAAAATAATAAATAACCTTGACTCGAGTATAAGGTGAGGGGAGCTTTTTCAGCCTAAAAAAAGGTCTGAAAAACTAGGCTTATACTCAAGTATATACAGTATTTATAAAGGACTGAGTTAGTCACTTGTCTGGGGAACTACACACTGGAAGAAAAAGATTTTGGCTGGAGATCTGTGAATGAAATATGTCAGTGCAAATCACATTATGTATGTGAAGCAGATGATTTACCATTGTGCAACAGAGGTATTCTGCTCATAGTTGTTGATAGCAGCAATGTTAACCATTATCTCCCCACTGCAAAAAAGATATTTGAAAATGGTGGTTGTGGAAATACATTTTTTGAAGCCTGTTCACAATTTGGGACTTATTCTGTGAAAAATCCACAAATTGTGGTTTTGTATAGGAAACATTTTCTGCACAGGAAATATTTTTGTGCAGAAATATTATTTCCTGTACAATCATGGTTTTCTGTGCACATCCAACATACCATTGTGCATCAAAGGTATTCTGCTCATAGTTGTTGACAGCAGCAATATTAACCATTTTTTCCCTACTGCAAAAAAGATATTTAAAATGGTGTTTGTGAAAATACACTTTTTGAAGTCTGTTTGCCATTTGGGACTTATTCTGTGAAAAATTCACAAATTGTGGTTTTGTATACAAAACATTTTCTGCATAGGAAATATTTTAACACAGAAATATAATAATAATAGTAATAATAATAATAATAATAATAATAATAACTTTATTTATACCCCGCTACCATCTCCACAAGGGACTCGGTGCGGCTTACATGAGGCTGAGCCCACAATACATCAATATATCAATCAATATTATTTCCTGTACAAATCATGGTTTTCTATGTATATCCAACATACAGAAATTTTGCACAGCATAAATCCACAATTGTAGCATTGTCACCTAATCAATATTTTCTGCATAGGCAATAAGATTTCCGCACAGAAATGCTATCTCCTGCACAGAAAAAGTGTGAATTTTTGACATAATATATCCTGAACCATGAATACGCTCATCAGTCCATGATGATTCTCATCAGGGTTTCTCAATGCTCAAAAAACATCTGTTGGGACAATATTCTGAGTATTGTAAAATATTTATTTTCATCCCTGTTATCTAGTAAGCATTTCTTTCATGAAGATACAGGAGGTAAAGAACATGTACAGCAGCAAACTTTTTAAGATGTACTATGGATTTTAGATATTTGAATCTGGGAGAATTGGACACTGTAGAGCTTGCAGACCTAAGAAGCGGTGCACGCAAATGACAGTGAGTGCCAAGCTTTTGGGTTTTTGACCTTCAGCCTTTCCTGGCTTTTAGGGCTGAACTGCATTCCATGCTGTCGAGGTTAAAGACGAGGCCCGTTGTGTAAAGGGCCGTTTTCAGGGGCAGGGTGCAGGCAATTTCTGTGCTGCAGCCTCTTGCTGCAAAGGAAGAGGGGAGACCACCTGTTTGAGCAGAAAATTGAGACACATTAGGAGCCTAGGAGGTTACTTTATGGAACCAACAAGCTAGTCGAGGATCATAGATTTTGCCACTGCTTCTGAATCTGCTCTGGATTTTGCTCTGAATGTCAGAGGATCTATCCATGGTGTTTAACAAAATAGGTTCAGCACCTTAGATAGTTCTGTTGAAGTGCAAAACAAAACAAAACACAGAGTACTGTCGAAGGCTTTCGTGGTCAGAATCACTGGGTTGCTGTGAGTTTTCCGGGCTGTATGTCTATGTTCCAGAAGCAATCTATCCTGATGTTTTGCTGCATCTATGGCAGGCATCCTCAGAGGTTGTGAGGTCTGTTGGAAACTAGTGGGGTTTATATATCTGTGGCATGTTCAGGGTGGGAGAAAGAACTCGTTTGTTTGATGGAAGTGTGAATGTTGCAATTGGCTGCCTTGATTAGCATTTAATGTCCTTGCAACTTCATAGTCTGGCTGCTTACTGCCTGGGGGAATCCTTTGTGGAAAGGTGATTAGCTGGCCCTGATAATTTCTTCTCTGGAATTCCCTTTGCTTAGCATTGAACGGCCTTGCAGCTTCAATGTCTGGCTGCTTACTCCCTGGGGAATCCCACTCTAACAACCACCATGTCAGACTACACAGAGAAGTCATTGAAATCCACAAGTATGTGGACAATTTCAACAGAAAGGAGGCAACAATGAAAGTGAACCAAATCTGGCTACCAGTATTAAAAATGCTAAAAAAAAAAAAAATTGTCACGTCAGGAGCGACCTGAGAAACTGCAAGTCGCTTCTGCTGTGAGAGAATTGGCCGTCTGCAAGGACATTGCCCACAGGATGCCCGGATGATTTGATTTTTTTTATCATCCTTGTGGGAGGCTTCTCTCATGTCCCCGCATGAGGAGCTGGAGCTAATAGAGGGAGCTCATCCGCCTCTCCCCAGATTCAAACCTGCAACCTGTCGTTCTTCAGTTCTGCCGGCACAAGGGTTTAACACACTGCACCACTGGGGGCTCCATGCTAAAATTAAAACAATAAATAAAGAGCAACATTCAAAAACAGGGGAAATCCAGAGAAGTATCAGGGTCAGCTAATCACCTCTCCATAAAGGATTCCCCCAGGCAGTAAGTAGCCAAACTTTGTAGTTGCAAGGACATTAAATCAAGGCAGCCAGTTGCAACATTCATACTTCCCTCAAACAAACAAGAGTTCTTCCTTCCACCCTGGACATTTCACAGATATATAAACCCCACTTGCCTAGTTTCCAACAGACTTCATAACCTCTGAGGATTCCTGCCATAGATGCAGGTGAAACATCAGGAACATGGCCATAAATTCCAGAAAACTCACAGCAACCCAAGCACAGGGTGCATTCACCACCCAACACAAGGGAACTATCAGCTGCCCCTGCCTTCCAAAATTATAAGAAGAATCACTATAAGAAGCTGAACAAATCCTATCACATGTTTTTGACAATCCCTCTTAAAATCCCTCTAAATGATGTAAACTTGCAAAATTACAAAAAAGGAAAGCCTGAATAATCTGTATTTTGCTGGCAGTGGGGAATCCTAAGAGAGCAGGAAAGCTTCAAAGCTTAGCTAATGTGTATTGCAGAGTAGCCACAGAATATTAATTGTGAAGAATAATCAGGTCTTGCAAATTGTTGCTGAGTCTACCCACCTATCATGTGATCTTCCTCTTTTCCTACTGCCTTCCACTTCAAGCATCATTATATTTTCTAATGAGTCTTGTCATCTTACAATGTGTCCGAAGTACAGTAGCCGAGTTATTTTGCTTGTTTTGTAGTTACAATTCAAAGTGGTGAGAGAATGATATGTACAATGGTGGTGTGTGCATTCCAAAAACTTCAAGGTAGGAATTTTGTGAAAGGGTGAGTTAAGAGAAAGGAACTTACCAGCACGTAGCGTCCCAGACACTGTGATGCAGTAACTTGCTTCTCCGGTGCAACTCAGAAACTCTGTCCCCTCACAGTGATCAGACCCAAAGGCAAAACACACGGGGCACTCCAGCCCATTGGCAGTAAGGTTTACAGGTAGCACTATGGAGAGGGAAACACGTAGAAACTTTCATTCAGCACTTCTCAAACATTCTGAACTCCACCAACGATGGAATTCAACCAAACTTGGCACAACTCGTATGACAAACGGAAAATACTGGAGAGGTTTAGGAGAGGCTTTGGAAGCTCTCCCCTTGCTATTCTCCCATCAACATGGGGACTTTTCTTTATTCAGACATGAGATATATCCATAAAGATGGCTGGATGAGGGCCTCTTCTGAATAGTTTAGACTCAAGTCTAGGTAATCTGGTCCTTCATAAAACCTGGATCTAAGTTCATTCAAGCTGTGAGGAGGCAGGTAACAAATAAAATTATTATTATTATTATTATTATTATTATTATTATTATTATTATTATTATTTGAAACACAACAAGATGAGTCCACAATAGACAAGATCACTCTGCTAGCTGTTGAATTGGATCACACGTCGGACACTTCCCACACTAGGACCGTGTGATGTATCAGTGAATAATGCGTGAAGTCCCAGTAGGGTGGTCTTTTGCAGCTGGCAGATGGTAATTTTGTCAGCACCAATTGTGTTTAAGTGCAGGCCAAGGTCTTTAGGCACTGTACCCAGTGTGCCGATCACCACTGGGACCACCTTTACTGGCTTGTGCCAGAGTCTTTGCAGTTCGATCTTTAAATCCTCATATCGTATCAGCTTTTCCAGTTGTTTCTCTGCAATCCTGTTGTTACCTGGGATTGCAACATCGACGATCCATACTTTGTTTTTTAACACAATTGTGAGGTCAGGAGTGTTGTGCTCCAGAACTCTGTCTGTCTGAATTCGGAAGTCCCAGAGGAGTTTGGCGTGTTCATTCTCTGTAACTTTTTCTAGCTTGTGATCCCACCAGTTCTTTGTTGCAGGCAGATGGTATTTGTGGCACAAGTTCCAATGAATCATCTGAGCAATGGTGTTATGCCTCTGTCTATTATTATTATTATTATTATTATTATTATTATTATTATTATTATTATTATTATTATGGGCTTCAGTTGTCCTTCCCTTTTGTGTTACTGAAATGTTGTTGCTTATGCAAACAATCCTGAACTGAATTGCTCTCATTCAGGATCCTTGCTCTTCTATATACACAGATTATTGAGTGTGCACTTTGGGCAGCAGCTGAAAAACTTTATGATTTTGATCCCTCCAAAACACTACCATGATAGTTACCAGAATGACATGTGTATATATGTGTTTGAGGTGGAAAAGAATCCATTTTCTTTTTGCACATGAAGTTCTTTGTATACTCACAGAAATTTCTTGGATAATAGCCTTTTTTTTTTTTGCTTTCGTGTTTTTTAGGCACCTGTCTCAGTTTTATTTTCAGTGGTTTTAATCTACAGACACTTTCGATTTTCCTTACACTGTCAGCCTCTTGAGTATGTAATCAGAAAAACAACTACAACCCCACAGGATAGAATAGGAAATAAAGCAGATCCCTAGAATCACCATCTGAATCAATATTGCACAAAAATGCTGTTCAGCTGGGACCAATATTTTTATAAGAACTTCTGGAAGGAGGGATATGCGGGGCCCATCAGCTGTTGAAACAGGGCATGCAAACAGGCAGAAAGAAATGTTTCCAAAGGAACAAAGATAGGTAAGGTAAAGGTAAAGATTGGCAGAATCTGGGGCTAACAGCGGGAGCTCACCCCGTTTCCTGGATTTGAACCACCAGCCTTTCGGACAGCAAGTTCAGCAGCTCAGTGGTTTAACCTGCTGTGCCACCAGAGGAGCCTAAAGATGGGGTATACTCTAAATATCCTAAAATCACCAGAATCATTTTGATTTTGGGAGCTAAGTAGGATTGGCCCTGGCGAATACTTGGGATAGGAGATTGCCAATGAATACCAAGTTCCCTAAGCTATATTTCAAAAGAAGTTGCTAAAGGCACATCTAAGTATCCTGTGCCTAAGAAAGCCCTATGAAATTTATGAGGTCACCAAAAGTCCATAGACACTGGGTTGTTGTAGGGTTTTTTTGGGCTATATGGCCATGTTCTAGAGGCATTCTCTCCTGACATTTCACCTGCATCTATGGCAAGCATCCTCAGAGGCTGGGAGGTCCTCTGAGGTTGCTTGCCATAGATGCAGGCAAAACGTCAGGAGACAATGCCTCTAGAACATGGTCATATAGCCCCCAAAAACCCTACAACAAATCAGTGATGCCAGATATGAAAGCCTTCGACAATACACAGTCCATAAACACTTTGAAAGCAGTAGGTTTTTCAGGCTGTATGTCCATGTTCCAGAAGCATTCTCTCCTGATATTTCACCTACATCTATGGCAGGCATCCTCAGAGGTTGTAAGCTCCTCACAACCTGAGGATGCCTGCCATAGATGCAGGTGAAACGTCAAAAGAGAATGCTTCTGGAACATGGCCAGACAGCCCAAAAAACTTACAACAATCCAGTGTTTCTGGCCATGAAAGCCTTCGACGATACTGTGAAAGCACATACACCCACAAACACATTTTCTAAGAAAGTTACTATAGCAAAGGTCTTCCAGATCTTTTTGAAGGTCTTATCATCCCAAACCAACACAATCAATGGTAAAGGATAAGCGGGGCTGCAGTCCACCACCATCAAGAAGGCTACAATTTGCTTGTTCATGCTGTTTTTGCTTGGGAGAGAAAAGGAGACTGTTCCGTACAATTCAGATCCTGGCGGTTGCAAAGGTTGTCGTGGCAGCAACTGGAAATGCTCTCCAGATGCAACCCAGCATTCGTGGTGACGCTGATGGAGCCAGCATAGCAGTCCTCAGCGGCAACACAGGCCTTGAGGGTCTCTATATTATTGCTTCCCCCTGAAAAAACAAAAAAAGGTACAATTAAGAGAGAAAAAACATGCAAAAACATCCAAGTATTTTTGACAGGCATTTCACATTTGAATGTATATTTTGGTAGCAAATAGAAATGTTAGCTATTCCTAGGTAAATTAAAATCTTAAAACACTTTAAACTAATGAAGCATGTTAGGATTGTGCAGTCCCTTCCCATACACATATTTCAGATACTCTAAATCAGTGTTTCTCAACCCTGGGGTCAGGACCCCGGAGGGGAGGGGGGTTGCCAAAGACCAACAGAAAACACAGTATTTCCTGTTGGTCATGGGGGTTCTGTGTGAGAAGTTTAGTCCAATTCTATATTGGTGGGGTTCAGAATGCTCTTTGATTGTAGATGGACTATAAATCCCAGTAACTACAACTCCCAGATGTCAAGGTCTATTTCCCCCCAAACTCCACCAGTGTTCACATTTGGGCATATTGAATATTCGTGCCAAGTTTGGTCCAGATCTATCACTGTTTGAATCCACAGTGCTCTCTGGTCGTTGGTGAACTACAACTCCACAACTCAAGGTCAATGCCCACCAAAACTTTCCAGTGTTTCTTGTTGATCATGGGAGTTCTGTGTGTCAAGTGCCAAGTTTGGTTCAATTCTATTGTTGGTGGAGTTTCACTATGCTCTTTGATTGTAGGTGAACTATAAATCCCAGCAACTACAACTCCCAAATGACAAAATCTATTCCCTGCCCATCCCACCAGTATTCAAATTTGGGCATATTGAGTATTTGTACCAAATTTGGTGCAGTAAATATAAATACATTCTGCATATCACAGATTTACATTACGATTCATAACAGTAGCAAAATTATGAGATAGCAACTAAAATAATTTTATGGTTGGAAATCACCACAACATGAGGAACTGTATTAAGGGGTCTTAGCATTAAGAAGGTTGAAAACCACTGCTCTAAATACTTTTGAAGTCTCTATTTTCTATCAAAGTAAAAAATTTAAATGGGAATTTCCACTCTAGTTCATAAATGCATATCTTTGCGTACTCAATACAGGTTTTGAGTGGTTCCCAGAAAAGTATGGCATAGTGGTTTGAGTACTGGACTATGACTCTGGAGACCAGGGTTGAATTCTTTGCTTGGCCATGGAAACATGTTCTCAACCCTAGAAAACTCCATGATAGGGTCAGTATAAATCAGAAACAGCTTGAAGCCAGACAAAAACAAGAACTCAGCTCCCTTTCTCCCTCTGCTGAGCCAGGAATGAAACTGCAAGCTCATCTTTGCCAAGCCTCAGAGTTTTCCAAATGTTTCATGTTGGCGACACACTTTTAAGGTTTGCATCATTTTGGGACACAGTAATACAGTTTTCCTAGCAAACTGGAGGTTAAACAAGTCCCTTATAAGAGATATGGACACACACATATATGTTGTATATTGTATGTGTGTGTCAGGAGCGACTTGAGAAACTGCAGATCACCCAGGGGACACCTGGATGTTTTGATGTTCTACCATCCTTGTGGGAGGCTTCTCTTATGTCCCACATGGGGAGCTGGAGCTGACAGAGGGAGCTCATTCGCACTCTCCCCTGATTCAAACCTTCAACCTGTCGGTCTTCAGTCCTGTCGCACAAGGGTTTAACCCATTGCACCAACACAACATATCTTATGTTGGTGCTAGTCATCCATAATAAATATCTAAAATATCTTATTAAAACCTTGATTTGTAAGATGATAAGATATATTTCCAAGATTTTTGTCATTTCTCATGACATTCTCATGACACACCCACAGTCTGTAGCCAATACGCTAACGTGTTGCAATACATAGTCTGGAAAGCTCTGTACTACTAGACCATTGTTCAAATTCCTATTCGGCCATGCAAATCTACTGAGCAAGTTACGTGATTTCACCTTGTAGAACCGTGGTTCCCAACCTATGATCCATGGACAACCAGTGGTTCACAAGAAAGAAAATATGGTGGCCTCACCATTACTACACTGTTGCAATAAGAGCAACTGGTCTCACAAAACCCTCTTATAGTGCCGAGGCAACAGGGATGTCGGGAGGGGAGAAGCTGACTACCCAAGGAAGGCACAGCAACAAGCCTCCTGACTACTGCTGCTTCTTCTCCTCCTCCCTTCCCTTGAGCAGAACCATTCCACACCAAGTGGGGGTACCTTGGTGTCTTCGTTTTTATGCCTGTTCCTGGGGTTATTTGGGGTGTTGATTCAGAAAATTGCATTGGACAGATCACATCAGCTCTAGATTATTAAATATGGTTACCTGAAGGCAAGCGACTACTGGATGGTGACTACTGGATGGCGTATGTTCTGTATCAGAAACTAGATGCAGTCTGTCCAATGCGATTTTCTGAATCAGCATCCCAAAGAACCAAACTGAATCTGAAGTTGACCAAAAACTGATTTGTAACCCTTTTGGTACTAATGTTGGAGAGTGGTCCCTGGTCAAAAAAATGTTGGGAACGACTGTTCTAGAAAGACAATAGCAAATCCATCTGAATAAATCGTGCAAAGACAATCCTGTGCTAGTTTTGCTTTGGAGTTACCAGAATTCCAAACTAACCTGAAAAGGACCTGACAACTACTTTGCTTAACACACCTAAAGAGTTCATGCCAATAGAGGTGAGGCAGGTGTCTTCATGGGTTTCACAGGGCTGAGCCAAGCCAGTGCAGCCTTGACCAGGACCAATGCAGGTCTCACAGATTAAACAGCTCCCTGTGAAATGAAACAGAATAACATACATATTTTACAAAGATACATTTATGGGTTCAGCTTTTGTGGATTTGATTATTTGTGAATGCTAAAAGGAGCCCCCGGTGGCGCAGTGGGTTAAAGCACTGAGCTGCTGAACTTGTTGACTGAAAGGGAGCGGCGTGAGCTCCCACTGTTATCGCCAGCTTCTGCCAACCTAGCAGTTCGAAAGCATGTAAATATGAGTAGATCAATAGGTACCACACCAGCGGGAAGGTAATGGCGCACGAGACCTCTTCCAACTCTATGATTCTATGATAATACAAAATGTTGGATGAGCTAAGGTTGGATAAGCGAGACTCTACTGTACTATCCAACATGCATAGCTGAGTTCCAAGTGTGATAGTAGTTAGTAGTCAGTTGATTCAGTGAGAGAGAAATGGGGAGGATCTTTCCTTTCCCAGTAGACTCAGGCAAAAGGAAAGTCCGGCAGCCTCTCCTAGCTTATCTGTTTTTTCTCATTAATACTTTTGCCGCCTTAGCCATGCTCTGATGTTGCTTGGCCGAATATGTCCTGGTATTCATCTATAAAATACTGGCAGTTATGCCAACGTACCTCACATGCAAGCAAGCCACATGCACTGAACTTTGGTTCCCAGCAAAAACACATATCCAGCTTTGAATATGACCATCTCACTTTTGAAGGGAAAATGCAAAAAAATCAGTATAGACTCACCTCCAGCCAGAAGAGTGGTCAGAACAACCAAAGTTGTCAAAGTTCTCATGGCGGATGATAGATGGCAGGACCTTTGCAGATCTGTCGCTTCTAAATTGATGTGGAAACATGGCAGAAGTTTATAAGCTCGGCTGATTACGTAAGGGGATGAGTGAGCAAAAATGAGCTTGGCATTGGGTACCTGGCTTTAGCCAAAATACACTTAAAACTCCAGTGCATCCCTGAACCCCCCGATAGCCAATTCTCTTTGTTTATTGATCCCTTCAAGGAGTCCCTTTGTCAGGCAGCTGGCCCCTACGACAACCAAGGGAACACAACCACCTCCATTTTCCCCAACTTCTCTTGTTCTTGGCAAGGTAGCAGACAGCTTTAAGTTTCAATTTGTGGAATACAAAGAGAGTAAGGAGAATAAGAAATGCTTCCCTGTCTATAAAGCCAGCTTTTGTTTGGTTTTTGGATGCCCCCTCTCCCAGCGAAAGGTTCTTCTGGAGCTTGTTGCCATTTTCGGTGGGATCAAATCACCGCAAGCTCGCTTTTTGGTACACTTTTGGCACAGCAGGACAGACATTTGGCACAACAGAGCAGCATTTTGCAGTCAGCAAAAACTGATCTCCCCAAATTATTTTCCCCACTTATGGCTAATATTTAGGAGATCTGTTTCACTACATACTTGAAAGGTGGATCTTCAGCAATTTGAGAACTTTAGCAGTAGCATGATTTCTTTGCATCATCATCATCATATGTATCCTGCTTTTTTCCCAGGTAAAAAGTTAAACTATGATACAGGTATTTTCCAGTATTGCCACCGAATACAGCAACTTTGGCATAAACCCAAATGGATAGACATTTCCCAGATTTATTGCTTTTCTGTGTCAAGAGTGACTTGAGAAATTGCAAGTCGCTTTTGGTGTGAGGGAATTGGCTGTCTGCAAGGGCACCTGGATGTTTTGATGTTTTACTATCCTTGTGGGAGGTTTCTCTCATGCCCCCGCATGGGGAGCTGGAGCTGACAGAGGGAGCTCATCCACACTCTCCCCTGATTCGAACCTCTGACCTGTCAATCTTCAGTCCTGCCAGAACAAGGGTTTAACTCAGTGGTTCTCAACCTTCCTAATGCTGCAACCCCTTAGTGCAGTTCCTCATGTTTCATTAACTGGACCAAATTTGGCACAAATACCCAATATGCCCAAATTTGAATAGTGATGGGGTTGGGGGAGGGATTATTTGATTTTGTCATTTTGGGAGTTGTAGTTGCTGGGATTTATAGTTAACCTACAATAAAAGAGCATTCAGAACTCCACCAACGATGGAATTGAACCAAACTTGGCACACAGGGCTCCCATGAACATCAGAATATGCTGGAAGGGTTTGATGGGCATTGGCCTTGAGTTTTGGAGTTGTAGTTCACCTACATCCAGAGAGCACTGTGGATTCAAACAATGATGGATCTAGACCAAACTTGGCACAAATACTCAATATGCCCAAATGTGAACACTGGTGGAGTTTGGGGAAATAGGCCTTGATATTTGGGAACTGTAGTTGCTGGGATTTATAGTTCACCTAAAATCAGAGAGCATTCTGAACCCCACCAACAATAGAATTGGGCCAAACTTCTCACACAGAACCACCATGACCAACAGAAAATACTGCGTTATCTGATGGTTTTTGGTAACCCCTCTGATACCCTCTCACGACCCCCCCCCCAGGGGTCCCGACCCCTATGTTGAGGAACACTGGTTTAACTTATTGCGCCACTTGGGGCTCAGATGAAAACCAGGAGATATCTGGTTCAAAATGACAATAAAAATGTTGCACCATACATGGCTCTTTTGCAATTTATATATAGAGAGTGAGGGGGGGAGGGGGAGAGAGAGAGAGAGAGAGAGAGAGTAAATTGATTTGTTACCCAGTTTTGATTAAGTTCTGGTGCTGTTCTACTGCGATTTCTTGTAGTGCTTTTGAACTGATGTTTGCGTTTTAATATCAGTCAATTGTTTTGAAAGTCTAGTGGAAGGCTTGAACCTCTTTCTTGCATTTGATTCTTTATTCCCTTAAGAAATCTTACCCAGTCATATATTACGAAAGAAAAATGTCAAAGCAAGTTGCGGAAAACACTGTACATGATAGAGCAAATCATTTTTGGATTTAGAATTCCTATAAAGTCAGTATACATGTTACAGGTCTGTAATATTAATGGGCAAGAACAGACAAGCTAGGAGCGGCTGCAGCGCTTTGTTTTTACCCTCCTCAAAGCAACTTGAAATTGGGGAAAAAATACAGCAAAAGAAACCAGGACATTAGCTGCCTTGAGTCCCGATAGGGAGGAAAGTGAGGTATAAATAAAATTAATAATAATAATAATAATAATAATAATAATAATAATACAAGCATAGCCACTGTAATATGACAGAAAGGCTTTGAATGGACGAAAGTGTAGGTGTTGATGAAAGGGTCTTTGTGTGAAATTAGCAAATGCTAAGCATGGGGCTTGCAAATGCTAAGTAAGGGGCTTTGAATGAAATTAGCAACAAAGGAAAAATGTACCCTTGGTGGCTCCTCGGCTGTGGAACGCCCTTCCTACGGACATTAGACTAGCACCATCTCTAATGGTATTCCGCAAAAAGGTGAAGACCTGGATGTTTGTGCAGGCGTTTGAGTAATTTAGTGCAATCTGGTAATGGAACATAGGAATGGAACAATGGACGACGAATCTGGACTACGCTTGGATGATGAGAAGATTGGGTACGGTTGTTTTTTGTAATAATTGTGCATTGTAATTGCTTATTGGTAATTTATGGATAATGTGTTAAGTCAATTGTTATATGTTGTATGGAACCACTGCTGTTTCTACTGTTTTTACTGTTTGTGAACCGCTGTGAGTCGCCTTCGGGCTTGAGATACAGCGGTATATAAGCAAAGTAAATAAATAAATAAATAAAGGAGCAACAGGGAAGAAAATGTTTTTTAAAAAACAAGAGGTGACACGTAGAGGTCATACAAAGTTCGAGCTTACATAAGAAATTGGGTTGTGGTTAAGCGTGAAGTCTGTAGGAGCAGAAAGGTACTTTCCATCAAGAGGTTGATAAGACAGTAAGAATAAAGGTCAAAGTACTTTCCATGACAAAAATGTTCTTGTTTACTTGAGGATATATAAAGGTTTACAAAAGCTGGGGGGGGGGGGTGGCAGTCTGTGGAAGCACATGCAGAAGTGCTGTCTGTCCGCCTCATGCTGATCAGCACGGCTGGCAGGGATGAGAGACATGGCCTTCTCAGTGGTGGCCCCTCATTTGTGGAACTCCCTCCCTAGCAACATCAGAGCAGCTCCCTCCCTATTGGCCTTTAAAGAGACAAAACCTGGCTCTATGAGCAGGCCTTTGGAAACCAGGGCAATGCAGTATTTTGAACTGAAATCTTGTGCAATTTGGAATGGACTCAGACCATGAACTTTGGATGGCGTGTTTTCTAAATCTTTAAATTTTAATCTGCTTTAACTCTATTTTAATATGTCGCAATTTTTTTTTTAAATATTTAGGTAATTGTTGTTGAGGCAACAAGCAACAGCATCAAAATTACATTTTAAAAAATATGAATACAGTAACAAAATAACATTACAATAAACACAATCGCAGAGACACATGTACAGGATAAAATGTTTAAAAAAACTCGAATGAGATAAGAATAGGAGCAACTTATTTGGAGGGAGCTCATAAAGAAACGCAAGGTTGTGAAACTAAACGTGTACTCCAGTGACAGAAGTGTTGAGGGGAACAGTAGTGTCATGTTGTGAACCTACTCACCAAACTACAGGAAAGGAGATTCCACCAGAACATTAGGAAGAACTTCCTAACTGTGAGAGCTGTTCAGCAGTGGAACTCTCTGCCTCAGAGTGTGGTGGAGGCTCCTTCTTTGGAGGCTTTTAAACAGAGGCGGGATGGCCATCTGTCGTGCAATTTTCCTGCTTCTTGGAAGAAAGGGGTTGGACTGGATGGCCAACGAGATCTCTTCCAACACTATGATTCTAAGTCTAGCCAATGAATTATACACATACATATCTTTCAATACCATGCTCTCGCCCTGAGGGCCAGGTCTTGAGGACCAGAGACCTGGCAAAGGAGAATTCTCACCTTGCAATTTCCTCCCCCTTTTCAATCCTGAGAACTTGAGATGGATGCCTAGATCTGGAGACCTTTAGATCTGGGAACCTGAGGCTGATCTCCTCATTCATTTTGCTTCCTATTCCTGGGGATATGGTTAGAATTTGTACAAACCTTAGCAACCTAATTTAGAAATAGCTCAGAAACAGCAAATTTAAGTACCCAAAGAAAAGAGAACAAAACCCCATTGTTAGGCGTTGAAAGTACCGGAGGCATTCTAATGGCCTGGCTGCAATCTGAGCTGTTAAGTGGGCTTCTTGTTTTTAAAGAGGAACTGGGACAGACCATGAGAGCTGTCCATCATCACTTTGAGGAAGAAGGGACTCCTTTCAAAGAAGCCTTTTGTTTTTTCTAAGCATCCAACATTAGCCAACTATGAATAATGTGAACTTAGTAGAGGAATTTCTGAATGTGATCCCAAACATTGGAGGATTGCATCATTCCTGCAGGAGAATCATCACATTTAAAAGTTTCTCTATCTGACTCATGGTGCATCTATACTGCAGAACTAATGCAGCTTGACCCCACTTTAATTGCCATGGCTCAATGTTATTGAATCCTGGGAGTTGTAGTTTGGCAAGGCATCAGCATTCTGCAATTATTAAATAATATTTTGTCTGACATGGATAAATGTTTACTATTGGGCTGTTGTAGGTTTTTTCGTGCTATATGGCCATGCTCTAGAGGCATTCCCTCCTGACATTTCGCCTACATCTATGACAAGCATCCTCACTACCTCTGAGGATGCTTGCCATAGATGCAGGTGAAAAGTCAGGAGAGAATGCCTCTAGAACATGGCCATATAGCCCTGAAAAAACCTACAACAACCCAGTGATTCCGGCCATGAAAGCCTGCGACAATTTTTACTATTGTTATTTTTGTACTGGGAGCCCCCAATGGTGCAATGGATGAAATTAGGGGTCCACAAACCTTTTAAACAGAGGGCCAGGTCACAGTCCATCAAATTGTTGGAGGGCCAGATTATAATTTGAAAAAAAAAAACATAAATGAATTCCTATGCACACTGTACATATCTTATTTGTAGTGCAAAAAAACACTTAATTGCAATACAATAATTAAAATGATGAACAATTTTAACCAATAAAAACTTATTAGTATTTCAATGGGAAGTGTGAGCCTGCTTTTGGCTGATGAGATAGGGTTGTTGTTGTTGTGTGCTTTCAAGTCGTTTCAGACTTAGGTTGACCCTGAGCGAGGGCCGGGTAAATGACCTTGGAAGGCCATATCTGGCCCCTGGACCTTAGTTTGAGGACCCCTGGGTTAAATCCTTGTGCCAGCAGGGCTTCTTCGGTTTGAATCCAGGAAGCGGGGTGAGCTCCCATCTGTCAGCTCCAGCTTCCCACGCGGGGACATAACAGAAGCCTCCCACAGGATGATAATACATCCAGGCATCCCTTGGGCAACATCCTTGCAGACAGCCCATTCTCTCACACCAGAAGCGACTTGCAGTTTCTCAAGTTGCTCCTGACACACACACAAACCTTTTGTACTAGTTGAGAGTTCCTAATCCAGAAATCCAAACTGAATTAAAATCTCAAATTGTTTACATGAATGGCTAACATAATGACACCTTTGCTTTCTGATGTTTTAATGCACAAAATTATGCAAAATATAGTGGAATAAATTGTTTCAGGCTATGTGTACATAACATATATGAAAACCTCATGTATGAAAATATCCCAAAACCCAAAACAAAAATTCCGGAACCAAACATTTCAGATAAGGACTATTCAATCTGTATCTTAATATGTATGTCCCCTTAAGTACCAGATTTGTGGAAAAGATGCCCACAATATGTGTTTCTATAATAACAAAATATCAATAGTATTGATATAAGTAACCATGAATCCAAAGTGCCTGATAATTAATTTGTTGCTAATGTCTACCATAGTTACATAATATATTTTGTTCCATTAATGTTCTGAAAGTTCCTAATAAAAAGAATATTCATTAAAATAGTATTAATTTTAAATTAATTCTAAATTAGTATTAGTAAACATGTAAACAATATTAATTTAAAATATTATTAAATTAAAAGTATTAGCTTAACTTAATTTTGAGTTTAAAACAAATATGCAAAAATAATATTAACTATAAATTAATTTTAATTTTAAAATTATTAACAAATTAATATTAATTATAAATACAAAACATAAGCATTGAATTAATATAAAATATTAATTTTAAAATAATGTTACACCAATATCTATTTACAAATAAAAATGTAAAATAAGGTGAACTTTCAAATTTCACCTTGTCTCCTGTGCTATGCTAATAATATAATACAATATAATATAATATAATATAATGTACATATATTTATATTATAATGCAATACAATATAATACTAATAATAATACGATATTATAATTATATATTTGATATTACATGTAATATTACTAATAATATTACAATATAATAGCATAGTATAATATAGTAAAATATAATACTGATATTGTACTATGCTAACAATAAAATATATTGTATGCATATATATCTTGTAAGCAGCAATTAATATAAATTTTAAAATAATAACAATATGTACATTATTACTGAAAATAAAATGAATTAAAATGTAAATACCAATTAACAACTTATAATTAATATTAATTATTAAAAATATTCCTTCAAAATTAATATTACTTTTACCTTCATGTGACTGAAAATAAAATGAATTAAAATACCAAATAATAACTTATAATTAATATTAATTATTTAAAAATTCCCTCAAAATTAGTATTACTTTTACCTTCATATGACTGAAAATAAAATGAATTTAAAATTAAAATATCAAATAATAACTTATAATTAATATTAATTATTAAAATATTGATTAAAAATTAATATTACTTTTACGTTCATGTGACTGAAAATAAAATGAATTAAAAATTTAAATACCAAATAATAGCTTATAATTAATATTAATTATAAAAATATTCCCTCAAAATTAATATTACTTTTATGTTCATATTAGTGAAAATAAAATGAATTAAAAATTGAAATACCAAATAATAGCTTATAATTAATATTAATTTTAAAAATATTCTCTCAAAATTAATATTACTTTTATTTTCATATTAGTGAAAATAAAATGAATTAAAATGTTAAATACCAAATAATAGCTTATAATTAATATTAATTTTAAAAATATTCTCTCAAAATTAATATTACTGAAAATAAAATGAATTAAAATGTTAAATACCAAATAATAGCTTATAATTAATATTAATTTTTAAAATATCCTCTCAAAATTAATATTACTTTTATGTTCATATGACTGAAAATAATATGAATTAAAAATTAAAATACCAAATAATATGAATTTCCACTTAATATTCATTTTCAAATAAGATTGACTCAGAATCAATATTACTTTTAGGTTCATATGGCTGAAAATAATATAAATCAAAAATACAAGAGGATATTCAAAAGGAAAGGAAAAGATTCAAAAATACAAAATGTATATATATATATATATATATATATATATTCTTTTTTTTTTTCCAAAAGGAAAGGAAACTATAGCCATGCAAATGAGAAGGCTCCTAGATGTCATGCAGATGTCTGGGAGGAAGAGACTCGCCTCTTTGGAGCTGCAGAGGAACACCATAGACAGCGCCAGCAGCCCCGCGCATGCGCAGAAACACCCGGAGGCCGGCTGAGAGCGAGACCATAGAGGTAAGCAGAGGCTGAGTTCAGAGAGGGAGCGGGGGGGGGGCGCCACCATTGCTTCCGGGTGACGGGCGGAGTTTTGCTGCCGGGGTTACGTCGTCGACGGAAAGTGGCGGGGAGATGCCGGAGATTGGGATCCGACATGTGGCGTCCGCGAGCAGCTCCGACCCGGTGAGGATGGAAGGCGATGGCGGGGAGGAGGCAGGCCTGTGGAGGCCTTCCTTCGCGGAGAGGCCTGGCCATTCACCGAGGGGAGGGGCCTTTCGGCTCTCTTTGGACGAAACCATTCCCAGATTGGGGGGGGGGGGTGTGTGTGTTAAGTTCTCATTTGGAAGAGTCCATTTCGTAGAAAGTGAAGGGGGAATCCTTTTGAACAGAGAAGACAATGAAGAGAGGGAAAATGAACAAAAATCTGGCTACCAGTATTAAAAAACTCTAAAATTACAACAGCAAAACAACAGAGAGAAAACAACCAGGCACAGATTAACACCTCTCAGCAAGAGATTTTCCCAGGCTCAGGCAGGCCTTCAAATGCTAATGAAGGTGGTCAGTTGAAACATTCACACCTAGCTCCAGCAGGGAAGAGCTCCTTGCCCCACCCCAGCCATTCCACAGATATATAAACCCATTGTCCTAATTCCAACAGACCTCACTACCTCTGAGGATGCTTGCCATAAATGCAGGCGAAACGTCAGGAGAAATGCCTCTAGAACATGGCCCTATAGCCCGAAAAAACCCACAAGAACCTAGTGATTCCAGCCATGAAAGCCTTCGACAATACATTGAAGAGAGGGAATGCTGAAGACCAAATAGTTTGGGTTTGCCCCCCCCTTCCCAATTATATCCAAATACAGGTAGTCCCTGACTTACGAACAAGATAAGTTTTAGGAGAATTTGTATGTAAGCTGGGACAGGTACAGTTTTGAAGTGTAGGTAAAGTTTTTGAAATTAAGTCCAGTCGTGTCCAACCCTAGGAGTTGGTGCTCATCTCCATTTCTAAGCCGAAGAGCTGGCATTGTCCGTAAACACTTCCAAAGTCATGTGGCTGCATGGAGCGCCATTACCTTCCCGCTGGTGTGGTACCTATGGATCTACTCGTATTTACATGCTTTCGAACTGCTAGGTTGGCAGAAGCTGGTGATAACAGTGGGAGCTCACGCCGCTCCCTTTCGGTCAACAAGTTCAGCAGCTCAGTGCTTTAACCCACTGCGCCACCGGGGGCTCCTTTTAGCATTCACAAATAATCAAATCCACAAAAGCTGAACCCATAAATGTGTCTTTGTAAAATATGTATGTTATTCTGTTTCATTTCACAGGGAGCTGTTTAATCTGTGAGACCTGTATTGGTCCTGGTCAAGGCTGCACTGGTCAGTGGTTCTCAACCTTGGGTCCCTAGATGTTTTTGGACTACAACTCCCAGAAATCCCAGCCAGTTTACCAGCTGTTAGGATTTCTGGGAGATGAAGGCCAAAAACATCTGGAGCCCCCGGTGGTGCAGTGGGTTAAACTCCTGTGCCGGCAGGATTGAAGATCGACAGGTCGCAGGTTCGAATCCGGGGAGAGGCGGATGAGCTCCCTCTATCAGCTCCAGCTCCTTATGCGGGGACATAAGAGAAGCCTCCCACAAGGATGATAAAAACATCAAATCATCTGGGCAACGTCCTTGCAGACGGCCAATTCTCTCACACCAGAAGCGACTTGCAGTTTCTCAAGTCGCTCCTGACATGACAAAAATAAAATAATCTGGGGACCCCAGGTTGGGAACCACTGTCCTAGGTCATGTGGCCAGCATGACTGCATGGAGCACCATTACCTTCCCGCTGGAGCAGTACCTATTGATCTACTCACATTTGCATGTTTTTGAACTGCTAGGTTGGCAGAAGCTGGGGCTGATAGTGGGAGCTTACTCCCGCCGGAGCGGTACCTATTGATTTACTCACATTGGCATGTTTTTGAACTGCTAGGTTGGCAGAAGCTGGGGCTGATAGTGGGAGCTTACTCCCCGGAGCGGTACCTATTGATTTACTCACATTGGCATGTTTTTGAACTGCTAGGTTGGCAGAAGCTGGGGCTGATAGTGGGAGCTTACTCCCGCCGGAGCGGTACCTATTGATTTACTCACATTGGCATGTTTTTGAACTGCTAGGTTGGCAGAAGCTGGGGCTGATAGTGGGAGCTTACTCCTGCCGGAGCGGTACCTATTGATTTACTCACATTGGCATGTTTTTGAACTGCTAGGTTGGCAGAAGCTGGGGCTGATAGTGGGAGCTTACTCCTGCCGGAGCGGTACCTATTGATTTACTCACATTGGCATGTTTTTGAACTGCTAGGTTGGCAGAAGCTGGGGCTGATAGTGGGAGCTTACTCCCGCCGGAGCGGTACCTATTGATTTACTCACATTTGCATGTTTTTGAACTGCTAGGTTGGCAGAAGCTGGGGCTGATAGTGGGAGCTTACTCCTGCCGGAGCGGTACCTATTGATTTACTCACATTGCATGTTTTTGAACTGCTAGGTTGGCAGAAGCTGGGGCTGACAGCGGGAGCTCACTCCCGCCGGAGCGGTACCTATTAATTTACTCACATTTGCATGTTTTTGAACTGCTAGGTTGGCAGAAGCTGGGGCTGACAGAGGGAGCTTACGCTGGATTTGGACCTGCGACTTTTCAGTCAACAAGCTCAGCATCTCAGCAGTTCCTACTATGCCAGTAGGAGCCCCCGGTGACGCAGTGGGTTAAACCCCGTGCTGGCAGGACTGAAGACCGGCAGGTCGCAGGTTTGAATCCGGGGAGAGGCGGATGAGCTCCCTCTATCAGCTCCAGCTCTTCATGCAGGGACATGAGAAAAGCCTCCCACATCAACTCATCCAGGTGTCCCCTGGGCAACATTCTTGCAGACGGCCAGTTCTCTCACACCAGAAGCGACTTGCTCCTGACACGACAAAAAAAAAACAAACTATTCCAGTGGTTCTCAACCTGGGGTCCCCAGATGTTTTTGGCCTACAACTCCCAGAAATTCCAGTCGGTTTACCAGCTGTTAGACTTTCTGGGAGTTGAAGGCCAAAAACATCTGGGGACCCCAGGTTGAGAACCACTGTACTACGCCAACAGGAGCTCCCGTTTGAAGTGTAATGCCAGCTATAGATATACTATAGATTAGTGGTTCCAACCTTTCTAATGCTGTGACCCCTTAATACAGTTTCTCCTATTGTGGTGACCCCCAACCATAAAATTATTTTCGTTGCTACTTCATAACTGCAGTGAATGTGTGTATGTGTGTATGTTTGCAGTGTAGTGGGGTTGTAGCCTTCTGAGGCAGTGGTTCTCGACCTTCCTTATGCCGTGACCCCTTAATGCAGTTTCTCATGTTGTGGTGACCCCAACCATAAAATTATTTTCGTTGCTACTTCATAATTGTAATTTTGCTCCTGTTACGAATTGTAATGTAAGTATCTGATATTCAGAATGTATTTTCATTCACTAAACCAAATTTGGCACAAATACCCAATACGCCCAAATTTGAATACTGGTGGTGTTGGGAGGGGATTAATTTTGTCATTTGAGAGTTTGGGGGAAATAGGCCTTGATATTTGGGAACTGTAGTTGCTGGGATTTATAGTTAACTTACAATCAAAGAACATTCTGAACTCCACCAATGATGGAATTGACCCAAACTTGGCACACAGAACTCCCATGAGCAACAGAAAATACTGCAAGGATTTGCCAGGCATTGACCTTGAGTAAAATCTGGGGCTCAAGGGGACATACATATTAAAATACAGGTTGAGTAGTCCTTATCTGAAATGTGTGGGACCAGATGTGTCTTGGATTTCAGAATTTTTGTTTTGGGTTTTGGGATATTTTCTTATGTGCGGTTTTCATATAGGCCATACACACATAGCTAGAGGCAATTTCTTTAAAAAAATGTACATATTTTTGTGCATTAAACCCCCAAGCAGGAAGCAGCCAGGCTTTGAAGCTGCAGGGCCATTCAGTGCTAATCAAGGTGGTCAATTGTAACATTCACACTCGCCTTAACCTCACAAGAGTTCTTTCACCCACCCAGGACATTGCACAGATATGTAAATCTCATGTATCTAGGTTTCCAACAGAACTCACAACCTCTGAGGATGCCTGCAATAGATGTGGGTGAAACCCAGTGATTCCGGCCATGAAAGCCTTCGACAACACACTTCTTTTTTGGTTTCAGGGTTCTGAATATTGAGGTGCGCACTAGATTCAATGGTCCATTAGAGTCGAGGAAATCCAATATATCGGGGCATCTTAAACTTTTCATTCAGGATCCTTTGTAGCCTTAATTTTTTTTATATAATCCATGCATATGGGCAAAAATCCAACATTTACTGATAGCAAATCAACATTTGCAAGACTTGTTAAACAGTCTGAGTCCACTGCAAACACCAGTTCATGTATATGTCTAAAGCAGAATTCAGAATTATTTGGGGGACCCAAACATTGAGCAGAAGCGACCCCATTTGGGGGCAGGACCCACAGTTCAAAGGAACGGGATGTATCACAATAAGAAAATTGATATAGTGATATATTGAAATAATCTGTAACTGACCAGTGGTAGAAAGATGTACATTGCAAAATGCTAGAGATAACATATCATTAAGTAAGACTAAGTTTGGTAAGGTTCAGAATATCATAACTGAGGGAATTTAATGGCTGATCTGGAAGTGCAGTCATAAATGTAGAGTGTCTCTAGGCTTTAGAATTAAGGCAGTTTGATACCCGTTTAAGAGCCATAGGTCAATAATGCAGTACAAAGAATAATTAGGAAATATGTGTAATGACAATTGGAATGGCTACGGTGTATGATTTTTGTATCATATGATATTAATATGTATAATAGATGTTTTTAATGCTTTGTCTTAATGCTTAATGCTGTTTATACCTTATGTTAAATGGTTTTAGTGATTTTAATTTATAGTTATATGCTCCTTCCTACATGCATGCTGGCATTGAATTTTTGCCACTGATATGTTGTAAACCGCCTTGAGTCCCTCCAGGGGTGAGACAAGCAGTATATAAATATAGTAAATAAATAAATAAATACTGTGGTATCAGGTGAGTTATAATTTGGTGAGGCACCAGCATTTATTTGGCAGAGAAGATGAAAGACCTTGCATAATGTAATACAATATAATACTAGTAATAATAATACAATATTATAATTATATATTTACGTTACATGTACTATTACTAATAATATTACAATATAATGGTATAGTGCAATATCGTAATATATAATACTGATATTGCACTATGCTATTTATTTATTTATCGTGTCAGGAGCAGACCAAACAGTTGCGTTGCATTTTTTAACAAACAAACAAACAGAACACAAAGGTAACAAGCTTGGTAGTTGATTAAATGTTCTTTGACCAGTAACTGGCCACTTGGAGTGCCTCTGGTGTTGCTGCAAGGAGGTCCTCCAATGTGCATGTGGCAGGGCTCAGGTTGCATTGCAGCAGGTGGTCTGTGGTTTGCTCTTCTCCACACTCGCATGTCGTGGATTCCACTTTGTTGCCCCATTTCTTAAGATTGGCTCTGCATCTCTTGGTGCCAGAGCGCAGTCTGTTCAGCACCTTCCAAGTTGCCCAGTTTTCTGTGTGCCTGAGAGGAAGTCTCTCATTTGGTATCAGCCATTGGTTGAGGTTCTGTGTTTGAGCCTGCCACTTTTTGGACTCTCGCTTGCTGGGGTGTTCCAGTGAGTGTCTCTGTAGATCTTAGAAAACTATTTCTTGATTTAAGTCGTTGGTGTACTGGCTGATATCCAAACAGGGGATGAGCTGGAGATGTCACTGCCTTGGTCCTTTCACTATTGGCTGCTACTTCCCGGTAGATGGCAGGTGGTGCAATACCGGCTGAGCAGTGTAATTTCTCCAGTGGTGTAGGGTGAAGACACCCCATGATAATGCGGCATGTCTCATTAAGAGCCACATCTACTGTTTTAGCATAGTGAGATGTGTTCCACACTGGGCATGTATACTCAGCAGCAGGGTAGCATAGCGCAAGGGCAGATGTCTTCACTGTATCTGGTTGTGATCCCCAGGTGGTGCCAGTCACATTTCGTATGATATTGTTTCTAGCGCCCACTTTTTGCTTGATATTCAGGCAGTGCTTCTTGTAGGTCAGAGCACGGTCCAGAGTGACTCCCAGGTATTTGGGTGTGCTGCAATGCTCCAGTGGGATTCCTTCCCAGGTAATCCTCAGAGCTTGAGATGCTTGTCTGTTCTTAAGGTGAAAAGCACATGACTGTGTTTTAGATGGATTATGGATCAGCTGGTTTCCCCTGTAATAGGCAGTAAGAGCACCTAGAGCTTCGGAGAGCTTCTGTTCAACCATCTCAAAACTCCCTGCTTGAGCGGTGATGGCATGATCATCTGCATAGATGAAATTCTCTGTACTATGCTAATAATATAATATATTGTATGAAAATATATCTTGGAAGCCGCTCTGAGTCCCCTTCGGAGTGAGAAGAGCGGCATATAAATGCCTTAAATAAATAAATAAATAAATAAATAAATAAATAACTCCCAGGATTACATAGCATTTAGCCATATCAGTTAAAAGTGGGGTCTGAGTACGTAATTTCTACTGTGTAGATGCACCCAAAACCTTTGACAAATTGGCTCCTTTTTATAAAGTCTTTCTATATTTGCCAGTCCCCATTCGTCCTCCTTGGCCTTGCTCTTTCTGGAAGGCTTTTAAACCAGTTTTTTAAAGATGGCGGTGGCATTAGAGAAACATAGAATTTCAAGTGATAAATTGTACCAGCACTCCATTGTGAAATAAGAGTCTGGTCATTGAAATGAAAATCATGAGAATACTAGATGATGATGAAAGGAAAAACAATGCCTGAGTGCATTTTGGGGAGAGAGAAAAAAACACCTTTCAAGTGGTTGGGAGTTTCAGAGTGTTTCTGCTTCTTGATTCAAGGCTCACTTGACTCATTTGTCTCATTTCTCATGCACATAGTATTAGTTTTCAATAAAAAAGCTTGCTGAAACACATCAAAGTGGTCTTTTATGTAGTGTAGAAAACTATCATTTTACTTCCCATGTTTTTAATGCCCCAATTCCAAGTTTGCTATTTAGGAATTCATGTCAAGGAACGTATCTCTTTCATTAACTGAAGTATTTCTGTGCTTTTTTTCTATCATTTTTTCCCCTTCCCTTCTCGCCTCTATTCTTTGCTTCCAGACTCACTGTGCTGAGAACCTGCTCAAAGCGGACACCTATCGCAAGTGGAAGGCTGCCCAGGCCGGAGAGAAACAAATCTCTGTCATATTACAGGTGACATTTCCTGCATGTCTCTATTTGTAACTGGCCTAAAAATTACTATAGGATTATATCTATTATGAGATAGCCCAGTATCCTGTCCATCTTCCAGTAAATGTGAAGGCAACATATATATTTTGTCCTCACAAAAACCTTGTTGTTGTTTTTGTTGTTGTTATAATATTTATATCCCACTTCATTTCTCTAAAAAGAGACCCAATGTATTAAAAACAATACAATACATAGGGTTGTTCTAGGTTTTTTTCGGGTTATATGGCCATGTTCTAGAGGCATTCTCTCCTGACATTTTGCCTGCATCTATGGTAAGCATCCTCAGAGGTAGTGAGGTCTGTTGGAACTAGGAAAATGGTTTATATATCTGTGGAATGACCAGATATGAACAAATTCTGGCTACCAGTATTTTAAAAAAACCTCTAAAATTACAATAGCAAAACAACAGAGAGGGAACAATCAGGGACATCTAATCACTTCTCAACAAAAGATTGCCCCAGGCACTGCTAGGCCATCAAATGCTAATCAAGGTGGTCAGTTGAAACATTCACACCTTAGCAGACTTCAAGAAAAACCTTAAAACCTGGCTGTTCTGACGTGCCTTCGGAGAGTGACCATTTATCCCATTTCGGTCTGCTCCATCTATAGTGTTGTCCCTATGATGCACTTTCCCCCGTCCTAAACTGAAAGCCTACTTCACACTGTTTATCCTTTTTGTGATCCCATCAATTACATATTTTCTTGTCCTACCTCATCAGGGTTTTCTCATTTTATCTCTTCTATTCGGCCCGCCCATTCTGTTCAATTTTATAGTTTGTTAAACTTGCTTTATTTTTTTTATTTTGTTGCTGTACGTATTTTATTTTGATGTAATTTTGTTGTCTGCATCTTGTATTATATTTTGCTGTATTGTACTTTCGGGCTTGGCCTTTTGTTAGCCACCCCGAGTCCCCTTTAGGGAGATGGTGGCAGGGTATAAATAAAGATTATTATTATTATTATTATTATTATTATTATTATATTAAAAGCTCCCCTGGCTACTGCCAAAACCTGGGGTTTGTGATGAATCTAGACGATCTCTCAGGCTGTGAACCTGTGATTTCAGAGGGAGTGTGACCTCATCCAGCACAGGCTGTACCCCAATACCCTGTTCAGCCTTGCAGCTGGCCAGGAGTACCTCTGTCTTGTCTGGATTCAATTTCAGTTTGTTTGTCCTCATCCAGATTGTCCCAGCTGTCAGGCACCGATTCCGAACAGCCTCTTTAGCAGTAGGTGGAAAAGACTGATAAAGTTGGATGTTATCTGCATACAGATGGCATCGAATTCCAAAACTCCAGATGATCTCTCCCAGCGGCTTCATGTAGATGTTAAAACAACATGGGGAACATTACTGAACCCTGCGTGACCCCACAGGACAAGAGCTGTGGGACTGAGCTGGTGTCCTCCAGCAACACCTACTGGAAGTGATCCTCAAGGAAAGATTACAATTTGTACATATTATCATTTGTAAAAATGCTACACTACTACCCTGTTTCCCAACAGTTTGAAAAAGAGGAGCAGATTCATAGCATCGACATTGGCAATGAAGGCTCTGCATTTGTGGAAGTTTTGGCCGGAAGCTCTGCATCTCCCAGTGAACAAAGCTATGAGGTGAGGGAAATGAGCTGAATGTTTTTAGGGGTTTTTGTTTACCATCCTGAGCTTGAAACAGGATTTTCTATAGCAGTTTTGCAAAAAAAGAATAAGCAGATTTGGCTGAATTAAAACCATGTAGTGGTTGGAAATTATGATAGGATACTACAGAGCCAAAAAGGCAAGCTTCTTCTGTATTGTTCTGCTTTTCTGAACATGACAGTTCCTATAGTAAGGCAATACTTATCTCACTGATGTTTAGATTTATTTCTGTTCTAGTTCTGTGTCTGCATCTTCCCTCCAAGCTCTTTGGGGGAGTATTTTGGAGTTAGGTCTGGGACATAGTAATAGATGTGATCCTTTTAAGTCTGTACCCATGATCCTCACCATAGTATTTTCCTTTGGCCTCAGGTTTTGCTGGTCACGTCCTCCTTTATGTCCCCCTCAGAGAGCAAGAATGGAACCAACCTGAACAGGGTCCGTATGTTTGGGCCTGATAAGCTTGTGAAGGCCACAGCTGAGAAGAAGTGGGACCGGGTGAAAATTGTTTGTACTCAGCCCTATACCAAGGTTTGTATGTAGAGATGTCTGCCAGTGTCACTTCAGGACTCTTGTATACATTCACCCACTTGCTAGTTAGCTAGGAAGTTAGTCGGCATCTCTCTCTATTGTTTGTCAAATATATCTTGTATTGCTGTGTATGAAAGGAGCATTTCGATGGAGAGGGTTAAAAGCACTTTGCATTTTGAACATTTTGAAAATGTTAGGGATAACAGTATAAGATTGAGGAAAAGTACCTCCTCTAGTTTGGAAACATGACTTGTTGCTTTTTTTTTCTTTACAAGCAGAGGATGCATGTGTTTATTCTTTATAGATAACACAGATCTTTGTGGATTATTTATCTAGAGGTGTCGTAAAAATAATCAAATTTTGCCTCATTGCCAGATTAGAATTCTAAAAGAGTTAAATACTGGTAAAGACATCCCAAAATGTGTTGTCGAAGGCTTTCATGGCTGGAATGACTGGGATGCTGTGAGTTTTCTGGGCTGTATGGCCATGTTCCAGAAGTATTCTCTCCTGACGTTTCACCCACATCTATGACAGGCATCCTCAGAGGTTGTGAGGTCTGCTGGAAACTAGGACAAGTGAGGTTTATATATCTGGAAGGTCCAGGGTTGGAGAAAGAACTCTTGTCTGATGGAGGCATGTGTGAATATTGCCATTGGCCACCTTGATTAGCATTGAATAGCCTTGCAGCTTCAAAGCCTGGCTGCATCCTGCCTGAGGAAATCCTTTGTTCAGAGGTGTTAGCTGGTCCTGATTGATTCTTGTCTGGAATTCCTTCTTTTTGAGTGTTGCTCTTTATTTACAAAGGATTCCCCCAGGCAGTAAGCAGCCAGGCTTTGAAGGTGCAAGGCCATTAAATGCTAATCAAGGTGGCCAATGGCAACATTCACACTTGCCTCAAACAGACAATAGTTGAATGTTCGAAATCCTAATAAAATGGCTTCTATCAACTCCAAAAGGGGTAAAGAAATAGAGCATTTTAATAAGTTCCCCTGGACTACTTCAGGCTGCAACTACTCATTTTTTCAAACTAGAAGTATCCAGAGATTGAGTCTTAGTTTTTGGGAGGAAAGGTTATTTAGGACCCCAATTGTGCTTTCTGGGAATTTTTTAAGGTATGATTTTACATATAAGGTCAAGTAGGGTAATGGAAAGTCAGCTGAATCTCACCTCTCTTTCACTAAAACGTCTTGCTTCTCTCTTTCAGTCCATAGCTTACGGCCTTTCCTTTGTGAGGTTCCACTCGCCTCCAGACAACAATGAGATTCATTCCAAAACAAATTCACCAGTGAGTATCTCAGTAACCTATCTGTTGTCTTTCCTTTGTTCTAAGCTGTTGTTTGTTGACCAACCTAAGACCCTCATTCTTTCCTCTTCCTGCAGAAGGTCACCAAGTTGGGCCAGTTCAAGGTGAAGGACGAGGACAGCAACTCCAGCTCTTTGAAACCCGGTGCTTTGTTCTTCAGCCGTGCCAGCAAACCTTTGGCCTCCCCACCTAAAGGTAGCTATATTGAACCAATCCAATATCTTGCCTCCATCTGACTAATAATATAATAACCTTTCTGGGTTAACCAAAAGTCCAGTAGTCTATTACTATTTGTGGCCAGCCATTTGCCTCCCAAATGCCACCAAACTGATATGAAGGCAAATGCTCTTCCATCACTTAATGCCAAGTGCTCTCCTGCTCTTGGACATAAAGGCTCCATTTAACCTTCAGGAGTCTTAGTCAAACCTGTGAAAAGTTATTTTTTTAATCTGCTACTTCCAGAATCCTCTATGCAACTTGATCGATAGCAATGAGGGATGCGTGGCTCAAGAGCAGTACGTGTGAAAAAGATCTTGGAGTCCTCATAGACTACAAGTTAAACATGAGCCAACAATGTGATGTGGTGGCAAAAAAAGCCAATGGGATTTTGGCCTGCATCAATAGGAGTCTAGTGTCTAGATCCAGGGAAGTCATGCTCCCCATGCTCTATTCTGCCTTGGTTAGACCACACCTGGAATATTGTGTCCAATTCTGGGCACCACAATTGGAAGAGAGATATTGACAAGCTGGAATGTGTCCAGAGGAGGGTGCCTAAAATGATCAAGGGTCTGGAGAACAAGCCCTATGAGGAGCAGCTTAAAGAGCTGGGCATGTTTAGCCTGAAGAAGGCAAGGTGGGGATGAGACATGATGAAGGCCATGGATACATATGTGTAGGGATGTCATAGGGAGGAGGGAGCAAGCTTGTTTTTTGCTGCACAGGAGACTAGGACGCAATGGAGCAGTGGCTTCAAACTACAAGAAAGGAGATTCCATCTAAACCAGGGGTCCTCAAACTAAGGCCTGGGGGCCGGATACAGCCCTCCAAGGTCATTTACCCGGCCCTTGCTCAGGTCAACCTAAGTATGAAACTACTTGAAAGCACACAATAACAACAATCCTATCTCATCAGCCAAAAGCAGGCCCACACTTTCCATTGAAATACTAATAAGTTTATATTTGTTAAAATTGTTCTTCATTTTAATTATTGTATTGTTTTAAGTGTTTTTTGCACTACAAATAAGATATGTGCAGTGTGCATAGGAATTCATTCATGTTTTTTTTTTTTTCAAATTATAATTCAGCCTTCCAACAGTTTGAGGGACTGTGACCTGTCCCTCTGTTTAAAAAGTTTGAGGATCCCTGATCTAAACATTAGGAAGAACTTCCTGACTGTGAGAGCTGTTCAGCAGTGGAACTCTCTGCCCCGGAGTATGGTGGAGGCTTCTTCTTTGGAGGCTTTTAAACAGAGGTTGGATGGCCATCTCTCAGGGGTGCTTTGAAAGTGATTTTCCTGCTTCTTGGCAGGGGGTTGGACCTGGATGGCCCATGAGGTCTCTTCCAACTCTATGATTCTTTGGTCCGTGGGGGGGGGGGGAAGAAATTACGTGAGTCATAATCTAAAAGAAACTTTTAAACCTATTTAATATCCATGTCCAAAAAGAATCTATGGAACTGTTAAAAACTGAAACGAGAAGCATGGTATATATTAACTTCTCCGTTAATATAAACCCAAATTTGAACCCAAAACCTTGAAAACACAAAATATCTGATTTTCAGAATCGGCATTGTTTTTGAAATACATATTTGCTAGGTTGTAAACTATTGTTCATTTCTCCATGTATTTACAGCCCTTCAGAATGACCAGTCCTCGCCCAGTTATGCTGCTGCTTCACTGCAAACCAGCATGTCCAGTTCCCCTGACCTTTTGCCATTAGCTGCAGAAAAACCCACTCCCAAAATCTCTCCCAAGGTAAAGTCTGTCTGCCTTCTGAATGGGCTGGATGTGAAAATTTACTTTTGTGAATAGGAATAGATTCTTAGCTAGTGTCAGGGCCGTAGCTGGGAGGAGGAGGTTTAAAAGCTCAACCCTGCCCTGAAATGTGTCAGGTTAAAAAAGAAACCTGGTTTACTCATAACTTGGCTAACCAGTTAAAATTCTTGACTAAATCAGGTTGGGGGGGGGGGGTCGAATCCTTAACCCCGCGCTACGGCCCTGGCTAGTGTTGTCGTCCAGCCTTTGATTGTTCCTGCACCTGATCTTTCTGGGGATTCTAGGCCTGTTAGTCAGCCTGATGACAGTAGGGATTCTGGGTCTGCAAATCAGCAGGTGCAGCAAGAGAGCCAGCAAGAGATTTTAAGCCCTGAAAATGAGCGGTCTCTGTCTGAAGGCCACATTCCAGAAAGGCAGTTCTCTATGGAAGCAAGGTCAGAAACAAAACTGAACTCAGAGGATGAAAATGAAAATCCAGGTGGACTGACTAATGAGCAGTTAGATAGGAGATTTATGTTCCATCAACACAGAGCTTCTCATGAGAGTTTACGAAGGTCAACTCTTGTCTGTTCAAGAGGGTTTCTCCTTGGGAAATGTGTGTAGGAATGCAGCTTTAGTTTTCTTCTCCCTTCAGGACCCTACGCCTGTCAAGAGGAAGTATGAGTTAAGCAAGGAAAATACCAGTGTCTCATCTGTGGCCAAGAAATCAGACCCTGATACACCCCGCCCTATGAATCCACCCTCCAAGAAACACAAAAGTATGTGGTTGGGTAAAAGAGAACTTGGAAAAAAATACTTTCCCTTACTCTAGTAGGGATGGAAGCTTATATTGAAAGTCAGTGTAGATTTAACTGTATGTATTCAGAAATAACTCTCTTCACGTTAGAGTCGGCCCTCCACATTTGTGTATTAGATTTTGGCAGATTTGATTAATGTTGTCTTTCTATGAATCTCTACACCAGTGGTTCTCAACTATCCTAATGCCGCGACCCCTTAATACAGTCCCTAATGTTGTGGTGACCCCCAAGCATTAAATTATTTTCGTCACTGCTTCATAACTGTAATTTTGCTACTGTTATGAATCACAATGAAAATATCTGATACTGGACCAAAATTGGCACAAATACCTGATACGCCCACATGTGAACACTGGTGGGGTTTGGGGAAAATAGAGCTTGACATTTGGGAGTTGTAGTTGCTGGGATTTCTAGTTCACTTACAATCAAAGAGCATTCTGAACTCCAATAAAGATAGAATTGGCCAAACTTCCCACATAGAATCCCCATGATCAACAGAAAATACTATGTTTTCTGATGGTCTTTGGTGACCCCTTTGACACCCCCTCGTGACCCCCTCAGGGGTCCCAACCCCCCAAGTTGAGAAACACTGCTCTACACAGAGAAAAGCTATGAAGCTGACCTAAAGTATTAATCTCTAGGAAGATCCTTTGAGTCTTCTTCCACCTGGTCTGACTTCAAGCAGTTTATCACATATTGTTCTTATGCTTTTAATGTCATGTTTCCACAAAGATATTTCATATTGAAACAATGTGGCAGGAGAATGATTAATTAGGTAGGTTGCTCAGGGATCTTTTCTCTTCTAATATCCACCTCTGTCTCTTAATGAAGATTCTAATTGCAGGTTGAGTTAGAAACCTGTTGTTCTGGATCATATTTTAATTGTTTTATAAAGAAGTTTTGGGAATCGGACCTGTTAGGCTCAAAATAACCCTCACTTGGGGCAATTCCACAAAAATATAGCAGAGTGCCAGAAGCACAGTTCATAACCAGCAGAAACTTATGTGTGGTGAGATTGGATTAGCTTTCATTCAAAGAGGATGGATTCACAACTTTAGGTTCTAAAATATATTTATTGAAGGAAAAAGAAATCCATTTTAGATAGAAAAGGAAATCCATTCTAGATTTTAAAAAAGGGTCTTGGAGCTAACTACACGGTTGAATGAAAAGTAATGCATCCACCTTCGTAACTCCTCAACAGATGGCAGTACTGGTGTGTAGCAGGTCCTGGCTTGTTCAGTAGACTCTCCTCTACAGTTCCATTTTGGTGGGAAAGCCTTAGCATTGAATGGTTGTATTGTTAAAGTGCGAAGTATGGAACCCTGCACAGATGGTCGGTCAATGCAACTTAAGCAATGTGCAGTCATTAAATTCTTGTTAGCAGAAGGTGTCACCCCAAAGGAGATTAATCAGAGAATGCAAACCATTTATGGTGATTGTGTTGATGTGAGTACCGTGCGTTGTTGGGCGAGTAACTTTAAAATGTTGAGGTGGAAACATCTGACTTGCGTGACAAACAAAGAGTTGGACATCCTGTTACAGCAACCACCGAGTTTCACAAGCAGATTGTGCTTGTGATTGATTCAGGATTATCGTCAAATCACTCAGAGAGAAATTTCAAGCATAATCGTCATTTCACAAGTACGTGGGGTCACATTATTGCTTTGCTTGGCTATCAGAAGATCTGTGGACGAAGGGTTGCGGAACCAAAGTGTCGACTTCTTCCATGATGGCTTCAGAAAACTTGTTCATCATTGGCAGAAATGTATCCAATTGTCTGGTGATTATGTGGAAAAGTGAATAGTGGTAGAGCATATTCTAAGGATTATTTCTGCATTTGATTTATTAAAATATTCCCATCCAAACCCAAGTAACGAAGGTGGAGGCATTACTTTTCATTCAACCCTTGTAGCTTACTAATCTATCTTCTAAGGAAGGTAAAAGGATAAAATAACAAAAGTATCCATGCAGCTACATTTTGCCTGGAGAATGACAAAATGCGTCCTCACTGGAAGGAAGACAAAGGCAGAAAAGAAAGCAATAAAAATACCTTTAAAGAGGAAGTTGCCTCATCCCTCACACAGATTCCATTGCTACAAAGGCAGAGTAGATAGTGGCAAGCAAGAAGAGAAAAGAGAAAGCCCCTTCTCGGAAAACCACACATAGGAATGTGGGGAAAGGAATCCCTCACTCGAATCCTATTTATTTATTTACAACATTTTTACCCCACTCTTCTCAACCCCCGCAGGGGGACTCAGAGCGGCTAACAAAGGCAACAATTCAATGCCGCAAGTAATACATTTTAACAGTAAGATAAAATCATACAATACAACAGATTAAAAACACACATTAATTATACAGCCATAAAGCCATTTCCATTATAACAACCATCTCTTAATGAAGATACTAATTGCAGGTTGAGAGTTCAATGTACACAGTGTCGTTATGTCTGCTAGCTAAAAGCCTGGTTCCAAAACCACGTTTTCAGTTTTTTTCTGAAAGAAAGGAGGGAGGATGCCGATCTAATTTCGCTGGGGAGCGAATTCCACAGGCGGGGGGTCACCACCGAGAAGGCCCTGTCCCTTATCCCCACCAGACGAGTTTGAGAAGCTAGTGGGACCGAGAGCAGGGCCTCCATGGTAGATCTTAGACTACGAGGCGGAATGTAGAGGGAGATACGTTTGGACAAGTAAGCTGGGCCGGAGTCGTATAGGGCTTTAAAGGCCAAGACCAGCACTTTGAATTGTGCTCGGAAATGGACTGGCAGCCAGTAGAGTTGACATAACAGCGGGCTGGTGTATTCCGTGTATCATGCTCCAGTGAGCAATCTGGCTGCTCCCCGTTGGACTAGTTGAAGCTTCCAATATCCTGTATCTAAGTCTAGCTACTCATTGAGGACTGGTAACTTGTGCAGTCCAGGGAAGAAGTCCAACAAGAGGAATGAATGGTGACTTGGACTTCTCCTCTTTCTCCTAAATTACGTTTATTATCCACCTCTTCCTTTGCATAGCTTCCCCATCAGCACCAGCTTCCCAAAAGACACCACCTTCCAAAAAGCCCCCACAAACACAAGCTTCAGAAGGGACGGCAAACGGCTCTTTCCAGCATCTCCTTCAGGGCACCGTGTTTGTGTTGAGCGGATTCCAGAACCCCTTCCGCTCGGAGCTGCGGGACAAAGCCCTCGAGATGGGGGCCAAGTACCGGCCGGACTGGACCCCTGACAGCACTCATCTCATGTAGGTGTCTTGCAAGTATTACTGCCTTAGCCAAGGCTTGGCGCTCTTTTCCCTTTTGTACATCTTGAGTCTGCGTAATTCCAGACTCTAACTTGCTCACATCAGTTGTGAGTTGCTTTGTACTGACTGCCCTGCTCTCCTATGCTCTTCTTCTAGCTGTGCCTTTGCCAACACCCCCAAATACAGCCAGGTGAAGGGACTTGGGGGCATCATTGTGCGCAAGGAGTGGATCCTGGATTGTTACCGCACGAAGCGATGCCTGCCCTGCAAACGGTGGGTTTGAGAACGAGGGAGGCAAGGAGAGTGAGGACCAGCCCCCAAAGTTTCCTCTGTCTTGAATTATGGCAGGGTTTTTGGTGGTGTCTATGGTAGTGACAGTTTTTGCTCCCACCCCCCAGCTACCTGATGGTCAGCTCTGAATCCTCCAGCAGTGAGCAGGAAGATGAGAGTGATGAAGAAGAAGTCTCTGTCCGACACCAGAAGCCTCTTAAACATCAGCAGGTAATGGAATGTCATATATGTGATCTGAGATACTTGCTTTGTTTTGATTTAATGCCTCCTACCTTGATAGCAGTGATAGATCAGATTTTTATGTGTACTTAACTCATTTATTTTTATTATTATTTTTATATCTATATAAATAAAAACGTAATGTTCGTTTGTGGAATTAACATAACTCAAAAACCACTGGATGAATTGCCACCAAATTTGGACACAAGACACCTACTAACCCAAGGAGTGACCATCACTCAAAAAAATGATTTTGACATTTGGGAGTTGTAGTTGCTGGGATTTATACTTAACCTACAATCAAAGAGCATTCTGAACTCCATCAATGATGGAATTGAACCAAACGTGGCACACAGGACTCCCATGACCAATAGAAAACACTAAAAGGGTTTGGTGGGCTTTGAGTTGGGAGTTGTAGTTCACATACATCCAGAGAGAACTGTGGAATCAAACAATGATGGATCTGGACCAAACTTGGCACGAATATTCCATATGCCCAAATGAGAACACAAGTTTGAGGGAAATAGACCTTGACGTTTGGAAGTTGTAGTTACTTGTGATTTATAGTTCACCTACAATCAGAGCATTCTGAACCCCACCAATGACAGAATTGGAGCAAACTTCCCACACAGAACCGCAATGACCAACAGAAAATACTTAAGGCCATCCAGTCCAACTCCCTTCACCAGGGCAAGAAAATGTAATCAAAGCCCTCCTGACAAAGAGCCATCCAGCCATAAATATGGATATACATGATTCACACACACACAGATATAGTATCATAGATTTGAAAGGGACCCCCAAAGAAGGACAATTATATGTTGCATGTTTCAGAGTAGGCAAACCAGACAATCTCCACAACAACACTGATAAAGAAACAGCAAGCAGAACTGTTTACCCACAAGCAGAAAGACATTACACATATTAGAAACCAACACTTTCTCATTATTTTATTTTCCAGATCACCAGACTGGGCAACAGCAATGCGTGGCAGGGGGTGGCTAGTTTATTTATATAGTTGTTAAATATTTATTTATTTATATCCTCACTTTTCAGGCACTCCAAGTGGCCAGCTTCTGGTCAAAGGACATATGGCCTAATGCCGGGTTTGTGTATTTAAGTGCATTTTAACTGCACCCTCCACTCGCTTCTGACACAATAAATAAATAAGGACACAAATCTTTCTAAAAGTGACTTATCAGTTGAAAAGCCAGTAGTCCCATCTGATCCTGTAGTCTCAGCTTTAGCAGTTGTTTATTCATTTAGTTGTTTATGACTCTTTGTGATCTCCTGGACCAGCCCAGCCAGAGCTCTTCCCCCCTCCTTCAAGGTCAAGCCAGTCACTTCAAGTATACCATCCATCTTGTCCTTGGTCGGCCCCTCTTCAAGTCCAGTTTTGTCCGACTCTGGGGGTTGGTGCTCATCTCCATTTCTAAGCCAAAGAGCTGGTGTTGTCCGTAGACACCTCCAAGATCATGTGGGCAGCATGACTGCATGAAGTGCCTTTACTTTCCTGTCGGAGCAGTTCCTATTGATCTACACACATTTGCATGTTTTCGAACTGCTAGGTTGGCAAAAGCTGGGGCTGACAGCAAAAGCTCACCCTTCTCGGATTCGAACCTGCGACCTTTCGGTCAACAAATTTTGCAGCTCAGTGGTTTAACCCACTGCACTACTGGGGGCTCCAAATATTATTCAAGCCCAAATTAGAGAGTATTGGGTGTGTTCAGAATGGTGTTCTTTAAACATTTGTTTCACCTGTATCCCACCTAAGATACTAAAGAGACAGATTTGGCTTTCTAAAATCACTAGCCAATTAGTGAAAATGTTGCTGGGGGATACCTGCTTGTCCTCACAACCATTGACTTGTGGGGTCCCGCAGAGATCAGTACTGTCCCCCATGTTACTTAACATTTACATGAAGCCACTGGGAGAGATCATCCGGAGCTTTGGGGTCAGATGTCATCTGTATGCGGATGATGTTCAGCTCTATCACTCCTTCCCGCCTGTCACTAAGGAGGCTGTACAGGTCCTGAATCGATGCTTGGCCGCTGTGTCGGTCTGGATGAGGGCAAACAGGTTGAAACTAAATCCAGACAAGACAGAAGTACTCCTGGTTAGTCGGAAGGCTGAACAGGGGATAGGGTTACAGCCTGTGTTAGACGGGGTTACACTCCCACTGAAGACACAGGTTCACAGTTTGAGAGAGATCCTGGACTCATCACTGAGCTTAGAACCCCAGGTTTCGCCAGTAGCCAGGAGAGCTTTTGCACAATTAAAACTTGTGCGCCAGCTGTGCCCGTTCCTTGAGAAGTCTGACTTGGCCACGGTTGGCCATGCTCTTGTTACATCCCGAATAGACTCTACATGGGGCTGCCTTTGAAGACTGTCCGGAAGCTTCAAATAGTCCAGCGGTTGACAACCAGGTTGCTCACCGGAACGACGTACAGGGAACATACAACTCCTTTGTTACGCCAACTCTACTGGCTACCGATCAGCTTCCGAGCACAATTCAAAGTGCTGGTTTTAACCTTTAAAGCCCTAAACAGTTCTGGCCCAGACTACCTGTCTGAACATATCTCCTGACATGAACCATCACAAAGTTTAAGATCTTCAGGAGAGGCCCTGCTCTCGATCCCACCACTATCGCAAACATGGTTGATGGGGACGAGAGACAGGGCCTTCTCAGCAGTGGCCCCCCGCCTATGGAACGCCCTCCCTAAAGATATCAGATTGGCCACCTCCCTCTTGTCTCTTAGAAGGAAAATTAAGACCTGGTTATGGGACCAAGAGTTTGAGCAGCTAGTGGAAGAAGATCACACAACTTATGACAATGAATTGATCCCGACTAGTTTTTGGATTTCGATTTTCATGGATGTGTCTTAATTAATTGTTTTAACTGTTGTTTAAATTTTTAATATTTTGATTGTACTGTGGTTGTTTTTATGGTGCTAGCATCGTATGATGCTTTTGTTAGGCCGCCCAGAGTCCCCCTTCGGGAGGAGAAGGGCAGGGTATAAATATAGGAAATAAATAAATAAAATAAGCTTCCCTTTCATTCAGTCAGCTGCTCTTCCTTTGCAGAAAGCTAACCTTCCCAGCTCCAACCACAAGCCCAAAGCCCCTATCAGCCCTAAAGTAGCCCCGACAGCAGCAAGGAGAGTGCTCGCTGAAAAGGAGGAAGAGCCCAGCACCTCTCAGAATAGCAGCGTCCATAACAATTTACGGGTTTCAGCAGTCAACTCTGCAGCATCTACTGATGATGAAGACCCCACAGGTAAAACTGAAAAATGATCATTCTTATTCAGCAGCATAAGATGGGTACCATGCTGGGTCATGCACACTCAGGGGTGGAACTACTGCCAAAATGTTGACTTACTTCTAGGACGTTCCTAGAAGGAGGTGGAGGATGGGGATGATCATCAACGTATGTGGAAGTCCTGGTAATTTTCATGGCAAGTCACTACTGATGGAGTTGTTTGTTTATCATGTCAGGGGCAACCAGACAATTGTATTACATTTCTAACAGAACAAAACAGACAAAACACATAGTTTGCAAGCTTGGTAGTTGATTAAATGTCCTTTGACTAGTATCTGGCCACTTGGAGTGCCTCTGGTGTTGCCACAAGAAGGTCCTCCATTGTGCATGTAGCAGGACTCAGGTTGCATTGCAGCAGGTGGTCTGTGGTTTGCTCTTCTCCACACTCGCATGTCGTGGATTCCACTTTGTGGCCCCATTTCTTAAGGTTGGCTCTGTATGGGGTTTTTTTGAAATCCCATGTTTATGTGAACTGTCCAAGGAGCCTACAAGATTTGAAGACCAACATCCAGGAAGAAATTGCTAACATAACACCTGCTATGCTGGCAAGAGTTATGACAAATGCCAGAAATCAGTTTACTCAGTGTATGGAGAATGGGGGACGTCACCTACCTAATTTGATCTTCCAAACTACGTAAAACAAAACTTTATGTATGCGGCTACATTATGAAAAAAATTTCTGATTCATACAATGGGTTTTATTAAGTTTTGAAAAAAAGGAAGTTATGCTGCTGCACCYTGTATTACTGTAGAGAAAAACTACCATATTTTCCGGCGTACTAGACAACTTTTTAGGCCTGAAAAATCTTAWGAAAAGTCGGGGGTTGTATARTACGCCGGGTATAAAATTAAAAYAATAATAATTGAAAGAAAAAATAAAATACAACTACCTTGGGAGGAGGRGGGAGGAGGAGGGGGGAGGGAGGGCACGGGGAGGAGGAGTGGCAGGCCGTCTTGCCATGGAGACCAGCTGAGGGTGATCGCCCMMTGGGTCATGCCTATGGCCCCTGCCGCACTCCCTGCTCTACTTTCATGGCCCTCCTCTGCCCCCGACACTCACCTCCTTCAAAGGCCACTGGGCTCTTCTAGGCCCAAGGAAAYGCTTTCTGACGACTCCCAGCAGCCCCAGGCGGCGTGCCTGGGATGTGCTCACTGTGGCAATCTGGGAGCCATAGTTCCCTGGCTCCTACGGCTCCCAGAATGCCTCTGCAAGCACATCCCAGGCACGCCGCCGCCCGGGGCTGYTGGGAGTCGTCTTCCGGAGGCGCTTCCTTGGGCCTAAGGTGARCCCAGTGGCCTTYGGAGAAGGCGAGYAGCRGGGTGGAGGAGGGCCTTGAAAGTAGAGTGGGTAAAGCGGCAGGGACCCAGCCAGTCTCCGTGGAATGCGGAGTCGTCTTAAACGGCGAGYATATCCCTAACTTTATATTTTGTGTTGAAAAGTTGGGGGGTCGTCTTATACCCCCAGTCAACTTGTATGCCGGAAAATACAGTAGTCTACATCCTGAAGTGGAAGACACAAACTATATCTCTTCGAATGTGGGTCAAACCTTGATCATGTTCATCACACCCACCCCATGCTAATTTAATAGAGCAGCAAAAACATATTTATGACTTAATTTTCATCCTCCCATCCTTCTTCTTCTTCTGCCCTTCCTAGGTGTTCAAGGCAATGGAGATGAGGAGTCCGGTGATACTGATGATGAGCTGAGGAGGTTGGTCAAACATAGACTGTAGTGGTGGTTCCTTCCATCAATCAAGACCTCAAAGGTTGGTTGAGGTTGGAAAGAGCAGTGGGGACTTTTAGCTACTTGTGATATCTACAAGTGAGTAAGGAGGGTTTTTGCAGAGTGCAAGGGAATTGCAGGAAATCGAATAACCGTATATTCTTCCATCTGACCTGTGGAAGATCTTGATTTGGATTATACATGGTTTCAATAGAAATTGCCAGTGTAAATCTTAATTGTGAGAACAAGGGGCATAATGCTGATTGTGGGGAAAGGGGAGGTCTGTTTTCTCAATTGACTTCATTTTTTATTCATTTCAGAGTGGAAGAAGAACATCGCAAAAAACAACAAGGAGGGCGGAGGGCTGTTCCAGAACCAGATGATGATCCATATGCTGGTTCCACAGATGAGAACACAGATGTTGAAGAAAAGGAAGAGCCAGATCAACCTATTCCAGAACTTCCTGGTATGACAGAACTGATAGAATGGGTTGAGGTGGAGGAATAGTCTAGGACAGGAGTCCTCAAACTAAGGCCCGAGGGCCAGATATGGCTCTCCAAGGTCATTTACCCAGTCCTCACTCAGGGTCAACCTAAGTCTTGAAAGCACACAACAACAACAATCCTGTTTCATCAGCCAAAAGCAGGCCCACACTTCCCATTGAAATACTAATAAGTTTATATTTGTTAAAAGTGTTCTTCATTTTAGTTATTGTATTGTTTTTATGGGTTTTTTGCACTACAAATAAGATATGTGCTGTGTGCATAGGAATCCGTTCATGTTTTGTATTTTTCAAATTATAATTCAGCACTCCAACAGTTTGAGGGACTGTGACCTGGCCCTCTGTTTAAAAAGTTTGAGGAACCCTGGTCTAGGACCTTGAGTCAACTAAATCATTTGTTGGTTAACTTGTGCAGATGGATGATCTTTTAACAGGGAGCTAGACATTAAAGGCATGGTTATTCCTCTTTAGAGGGATAAAAATATTAAATGCTAGCTTTAGTAAACAGAGATGCCCGGGCTCAGTAATTTGTAACACTGTTTATTAGAAGTAGTTATGGATTGTTTTTGGATGTTATGAATGGTCACATTAGAAAAACTATAAGGATATGGGTTAACGACAACTGCCATTGCCCTCTGTCATTGCTCTCCAAACCCACCAGTATATAACGTTGGACCACGTGCTTGTTGCATCCTGAATAGACTACTGCAACATGTTCTATGTGGGGTTGCCTTTGAAGACTGTTCTGAGGCTTCCAAGTAGTCCAATGGGCGGCAGCCAGATTGCTTGCCGGAGCAGTGTACAACCCCCCTGTTGCGTCAGCTCCGCTGGCTGCCAATCTGCTACTAAGCACAATTCAAAGTGCAGGCTTTAGCCTATACAAGCCTAAATGGTTCTGGCCCAACTTACCTGTCTGAACGTATTTCCCTCTATGATCCACCTTGGAGGCTAAGATTGTCTGGGGAGGCCTTTATTTATTTACCAAATGTGGTGTATGTGTGTGTGTGTGTGTGTGTATATATATATATATAAAATGTAATGTTCATTTGTGGGATTAACAGAACTCAAAAACCACTGGACGAATTGACACCAAATTTGGACACAAGACACCTAACAACCCAATGTATGTAATTCACTCAAAAATTGATTTTGTCATTTGGAAGTAAATATGTGCTTCAAGTTTAGTCCAGATCCATTGTCGGTTGGGTTCAGAGTTCTGAAACAGGGGACTAAGTAATGAGATCTGTCTAACAGAATTAACGTCTGAATACTGTAACCTTTATGTATAAGTTGTTCAGGTGAGCAAGTCTGAATGAACCCTTTCTTTGCCAGATTTATTTGAGGGAAAGCACTTCTTCCTTTACGGTGAATTCCCTTCTAACGAGCGACGCCTCCTGAACCGCTACATCATAGCTTTCAATGGGTAGGTCATCTTACAGGTGCTAACATACATGTTTGCTACATCCTAGGTGATGTAATATTGGTTGTGTTATAACTGGGGACAGCAAAAAAGTAATGATGTAGGCCTGGTCAATCCATGGTTCTAAATGGTTCTAAAGTACTTACAACACTAAAATTCTGGTGATGAAAATTTCAGAACTCTAACAAAACTCTCAAAATTTCATTATAAATGGCAGTTCCTAATTGGTTCTATCATAAAAATCACCAATGATGAAATAATAATTACATTTTGAAAGTTTTGTTAGAGTTCTGACATTTAAAATAGAATGCAGAACTGGTCAGTATGTGGCAGCATTTTGCAAACTGGGATTGCATATTAATACATTAAGACTTTATATTTATCTGGAAAAAGGTGTTTTCTGTGTCTGTGGGATGGCAAGCTATAGAGAGAGAACATTTATTACTTATTTTGTCCATTTCTACTTAACCTTTCCCCCAGAATGTGGACCTCGAGGACATTGGTTGTGAAGCAGCACAAATGGAGTGACCATGTTTATTCACATAATGTTCACTGCACTGAGATGAATATTAAACACACACAACAGCCCCATTTGTGTTGCTTTTTAATCCATGTTGGATCAGTTATTTTCCAAATACATTGTGTCATGATCTTTGACAAAGTTGGGGTGGGTGGGATTATCCTGCAAGATTGTTATAAATAAATACATCTTTCATTTCCAGGGAAGTGGAGGACTACATGAACGAGCGAGTTAATTACGTGATCACAGCTCAAGAGTGGGATGACACTTTTGAGGAGGTGAGAAAGCCTGGCCTGCTTGTCTGGGGTTATCTTGGCCTGATCCCAAAAGTTCTTACAGAACAGAAACTGATGAAATGTATAAATCTGACAGAGGTTGCTTCAGGAGAAAACTATAGGGCATATATATGCTTACATGATACTTTCAGCTGTTTGAAGCTTTACATGATCTCTGTAGCATCCCAGTTAAGTACAGGCAGTTCCCAGATTATGGACAAGATAAGTTCTGTATGTTTGTTCTTAAGGTGAGTTTCAATGACAAAACATACACACACACACAAAAAGAGTACATAAACATAGGCATACTTAGACAATGATTGCTTAACAAACATACATATCTACTTACAACTCTAAAATAATAATAATATACTTTATTTATATTCTACTCTATCTCCCCGAGGGGACTCAGGGAGGATTACAGAACACATATACGGCTAACATTCAGTGCCGTTATACAATTAACAAGGACAAAAATACATAAACAGAGGTATATAGGCTTTCCCATCTTTTCCCATCGCTGGCATCTGGAGGTTGTGCTCGACTCAGGCCACAGGGTGGTGCTGTCTCTCCATCTTCCATGCGGAGGAGCTTTGTTTGTCCGTAGATGTCCTCCCAGATCGAATCACAGACATGTTCTTTGTGGGCACCTTTTTTATTACCTCCCTGCTAAAAGCAGTACCTATTTATCTACTCACATTCCTGTTTTTGATCTGCTAGGTGGGCAGAAGCTGGGCTGATGGTGGGAGCTCACCCCACCTGGGCTTGAACTGCCAACCTTTCAGTCGGCAAGATTTTCTACAGCTGGCGGTTTAACCTGCTGTGCTAAAGCCTGGCCCTACATAAATTAGTTTTAAAAGTTGATTTTCAGCCTTGCTTTTGTCTCCTTTTCTATAAATTTAACTTTTTTTCTTCCACTTCGTATCTGGCCAATTGTTTACTTCTGTGTGTTTTTTAACATTTACAAGTGACTATCCCAGCATTTTATGTCTTCGAATCTATACATAAAGTCTATTCCTTTCCCTCAGATAAATGTTGATAAAATGGTTTCCATTCTGCTGAAACTGTCCATTTCTCCTTCCAACAACATTGTTAATTTGTCAATTTCAGTTATTTACCACATCTTCACTGTACTACAGTTGGTATTGTTGAACGAGTGGGCTTATTACCAAAAGACCCTCCTCATAAATTCACAGCAGAGTAACAGCAGCAGCGTGACCCAGCAACCAGTAGCCCAAAGTGACAAAAAGAACAAAAACACACAGACCAATGTTGTCTTCCATAGGAGGCTTTTCTTTGTAGTAAAATAATATAGTTGCATTATTTACAATAACAAGGTTTCCACAACACAGAGTCCTTCATTCTTCCTTCTTTGCTTCCATGCTGGGCTTCTTTCTTATGGAGAGAAACAGCTTCACTCTCACAGAGCCTCTTCTCACACTGCAATTGCATGGGAGCATCACATAGTAGCTTTGCACACAGCTTTACACACAAGGCCTTTAACCTGGTGCTTCTTTCACACACAGAGGTTTACCTCGCACTCCTCAGGATGACACTAGCTTTGGTCCACTGACTCTAACAGGCTTTGGCCTACCAACTCTTTCAGTGCTTGACTCACACTTTTTAAATCAAAAATACCCAGTTAATTTTTAATATTTCTGACAGGTATCTCTATTGTTTTCCTCTTTTGAGCATATATGATACTTGCTGCTGTTAGCATGTACTACAGTATTCTCTCATGTTCCTTTTTATTTAGTCATGCAATAGTTCTGGTCATGTAAATTATCTTAAGAATTCCTTGGAAAATCTTGGCTTTCAGAAGTTTTGCGCCTTTTCACAGGTCTAGTGCAAATGGTAGTAAGCGACCTTCATGAACTTCATTTCCAACATTTATTATTTGCCTTTATACATTCTTGGGCCCCCTAGTGGCGCAGCGTGTTAAACCGCTGAGCTACTTGAACTTGCTGAYTGAAAGATTGACRGTTCGAATCTGGGGAGCAGGGTAATCTCCTGCTTTTAGCCCCAGCTTTTGCCAACCTAGAAGTTTGAAAACATGCAAATGTGAGTAGATCAATAGGTACTGCTTCTGCAGGAAGGTAATGGCGCTCCATGCAGTCATGCTGGCCACATGACCTTGGAGGTGTCTACAGAGATGAGCACCACCCCCCAGAGTCGGACATGACTTGACTTAATGTCAGGGGAAACCTTTACCCTTACCTTTAAACAATTTTTATTATTTTGGAGGTGGGATTAAATGCCATCTAAACATAWTTTTTTAGAACTTCTCTTAGAGATTATTTGATAGTGTAAATCAAGAGCACTGAGTGTTTTCCAATGTGTCCTGCAGGCTCTGAACGAGAACGCCAACCTGTCCTTTGTGCGTCCCCGCTGGATCTACAACTGCAACGAGAGGCAGAAACTGATCCCTCACCAGCCGTATGTTGTGGTGCCACGATTGTAGGAGGCCTTCTTGCAGGCTTTTGTGAATCTTCCATTCTCCCACTGGAGTAAACTATATCCTCCTTCCTTGTGGACCACTTGGCCTCCAAACCACACCCAGTTCTTGTCAGAGGGTTCCAACTTGTCTTGAAGGCCTGGAGTTGCAAACTTCTTCCAATGTAGTGACATCTTTGAATGTCTTTGGCTCTTTTGGCGGTTACCTCAGGCTGCATCAGAGCAGAATTTGCTTTGGAAAGCAATTGCTGTCCTGCAGAATCAGGGTCAAAAGCTCCATGGCCTTGCTGTGTATTGCTCCAGATTGGGCCTAGTATGAATTCTGTGGGTTTGGAAGGTGGGATTATAAGAGCTTCAGTTTCAGGGACCAGGACGGAACTGAGAAAGGGAGATGTATAAACACACGCATATTTCACACTTCCGTGATTTGTTGTTTTGGGATCTTCTCTTCACTCTTGTATTTACATTTTTCTTTTTGTTTCTTATCCCTACTCTCCTTATTCCCCCTCAGACGTTTCATAGGAAACTTGACATGTCCTTACTGAATGTGTGTTTCCATGTGGAAGTTAATTCCGTAATATTTGAAACAACACCTAGAACAGTGTTTTTTCTCCTGTTCTGATGGATTGCACATGGTTTTACAAGCAGTCACCTGATCTACTTAGTATAGACTGGATTACCTAACATTTTTCTAAACTATGTTTACTGCTTCCATTGGGGTACGCTGGTGAACTTGAAGACATCCATATGTATGCCTACTTTCTAGCCAAGTCTTTATTATTCAAAAATGTACTACTTTCTGCGTGCATTTCTTATCTTCTGTTTTACTTCTCTGCAGAACACTTAACGTTACAGTGGTTCTCAACCTGGGGGTCCCCAGATGTTTTGGCCTCCAACTCCCAGAAATCCCAATTATTATAATTGTCATTTGGGCTTGGCCTCATGTAAGCCGCTACGAGTCCCCATTGGGGAGATGGTGGCGGGGTAATAAATAAAGTTTATTATTATTTATTATTATTATCCCAACCAGTTTACCAGCTAGGCCAAAACATCCGGGGACCCACAGGTTGAGAACCACTGCTTAATGACAATAACAGCCTAACTAACCAGCCCAACATTCAATACTGGCTGGTATTTTTCAAATTCCACATTCTAGTTCATGTACCTCTAAGTTGTTTGCATATGTTCAGTTCTGTATATCTCCCATTAAGGGTATGATAGGTAAGTGGGTGTTTTTCAGGGTGTGCTTGGCCCAAATGCCAAGTTCTTTTTAACGCCGAAAGTTCTCTCATTGACAAAACACCTTGGAAACATTCGTTTCAAGAAACTGTGCTGTATTAAGATTGTATTGCAGCGGCTGTGGGTCAAAACCCATTCCCATGATGGTTCTGCAGATGCAGAACGAAGCTGGGGTGTCACGCCGTTTGAGTCTTAAAATATATAGCTGGTTATTCTAGGCGTGCAGAGGTCCATTATGAAATATACTCCTGGTATTGGGAATATTCAGATCGGGGACGCAAGATATTCATGAATGAATGCACATTGTTATGGATAGGTTAATTTCAGCAAGGTGTTAATCAGGGCCTTTCCACACAGCCCTCTATCCCAGAATATCAAGGCAGAAAATCCCACAATATCTGCTTTGAGCTGGGTTATTTGAGTCCACTCTATCTGCCTTGATATTCTGGGATATCAAGGGTTGTGTGGAAGGGATCTCCGTTTGACATGTGTCTCTCTAGACTTCACTGCAGGAAACCAATAAAATACAAATCCCCGTCCCTCTATCCCAGAATATCAAGGCAGAAAATCCCACAATATTTGCTTTGAGCTTATATGGGTTATATGATGGTTGCTTACCTGTAACCATGTTTCTTCGAGTGGTGCTCTGTGAAATTAGCACATGTGATATTTGATGCACCTGTGCAGCAATCATTGGAAACTCTGACAAGCTGAGAAGGCTTGTGGCTGCCTTCCCCGCCCCTCTTCCCCATGAGGCAATATAAGCCAGATGAGGGGCTGAAGGTGTAGTTCCCCACCGCCGTGCAGCAGCACGAGGCTGGAGGCATGATCTGCGGGGAGGAAGGGCGGGGATGTGCTAATTTCACAGAGCACCACTCGAAGAAACATGGTTACAGGTAAGCAACCATCATTTCTCCTTCGTGGTGTCTGTTGAAATAAGCACATGTGATAGACTAGCAAGCCACAAACCTTGGATGGTGGGCGTCATGCCACTGCCGAGAAGAGAACCGCTCTGCCAAACGCAGAATGTCTCCTCGACTGGACGTCCATCTTATAATGGGTGGCGAACGTCAATGGAGTGGTCCAGATCGCCGCCCGACAGATGTCGTCCAATGGAACTCCACGAAGATAAGCTGCCGATGTAGCGACTGCTCTTGTGGAGTGGCCCCTCAGATGCAGAGGCGGATCCTTGCCCGCCATCTGATAGGCAAGCCTAATGGTGGAGACCACCCATGCCGAGAAGCGTAGGGGGGAAACAGGCTGACCCTTAGTGTCAGTGCGATATTTTACAAAAAGTCTAGAAGACTGCCGGAAGTCCTTCGTCCTGTGAAGGTAGAAGGAGAGTGTTCTGCGGACATAGAGAAGATGAAGTGACCGCTCAAGCTCTGTTTGTGGAGCTTGAAAAAATGCTGGAAGCACAATGTCCTGAGCCAAATGATATGCCGAAGCGACCTTAGGGAGGAAGGAGATGTCGGTTCTGAGGACCACCTTGTCCTTATGAAACCGGAGATAGGGCTCATCAACACGGAGTGCACACAACTCGCTAGATCTGCAAGCTGAGGTGACTGCCACCAAAAAAGCAACTTTCCATGAAAAGTGACAAAGATCGGCCTTAGCCGGAGGTTCAAAAGGTGGCTTCATCAATGCTGACAACACAAAATCAAGCTGCCAAGAGGGAGGTGGAGGGGAGACTGGTGGTCGGAGATTCCGGAACCCTCTAAGGAAAAGTTGAACAAAAGGGTCCTGAAACCATGAGGAGCCACCGTCCCTGCGGCGATATGCTGAGAATGCAGCAAGGTAGTACTTGACTGAAGAAAGCACCAGGCCCTCGTCTGCCAACATCGCAAGGAACTGGAGAAGGAGAGAAGTAGGGGCCTGCAGAGGGTGCACATCATGCTGGCATGTAAACACAGCAAAGCGCTTCCACTTCGCTTTATAGGAGCGCTGTGTTGATGGTCGGTGTGCAGCATCAAGGATGGCCGCTACTGCTGGGGGGAATGGTGCGGCTTGACTCGCCATGCCGTCAGACGGAGCAGGGCGAGATCTGGGTGACGGACACAACCGTCCTGGAGCGTAAGCAAGTCCGGCCGACTGCTCAGTGTGAGACGGTCGCCCAGAGCCATGGTCTGGAGAAGGGCGAACCAGGGTTGTCTTGGCCACCATGGTGTAATCAGGATGGCGTTGGCTCTGTCTGCATCCAACTTGGCCACCACTCTGCTGAGGAGAGGTAGTGGTGGAAAAACATACAACAGGTGTCTGTGCCAACTGTACAGGAAGGCATCCCCTAGGCATCCCTGCGGAGTGCCTTGTGGCATCCTGGCACAGAATCGTTTGCATTTGGCGTTGCCTGGTGCTGCAAACAGGTCGATGTCCGGCCATCCCCCACCGTCGGAAGAGAAGGCGAGTCTCGTGAGGGTGCAGTGACCACTCGTGGCTGGTGGGCCCAGCTCTGCTGAGGTGATCCGCAACCGTGTTGTCCTGACCGGGCAGATGTAACACCACAAGATGGATCCTCCTGGGAATGCACCAGTGCCAGATGTCGAGAGCCAACTGGAGCAGAGAACGGGACCGTGTCCCTCCTTGCTTGTTGATGTACCAGATGGCTGTCGTGTTGTCCGTGCGAACCTGGACCACACGGCCCCGAAGGGAGCGCTTGAATGCTCGGAGCGCTTTCTGGACAGCAGTGAGCTCCAAGATGTTGATATGGAGCTTGGTCTTGGCCAACGTCCACAGACCTTGGATGGAGAGGGTACCGGAGTGCGCTCCCCAGCCTTGAAGAGAAGCGTTGGTGGTGACGACTGCTGAAGGCCCTGGAGGGCGAAATGGCATGCCCACGCATTGTCGCGGAGAGTCCACCAACCGAGGGTGTGTCGGACAGAGTCCGGCGGATGTAACATGCGGTGCTGGCTGTGGTGGAGAGGGTCGAACACTCTGATGAACCATGCTTGCAGCGGTCGAAAGTGCAGGTGGGCAAATGGTGTTACAGCAGTTGTGGAAGCCATATGCCCCAGTGTGGACTGAACATGTTTGGCCTGCACAGAAGACGAGTGACAAATGCGCTGCACAGCTGCTTGGAGGTTGTGAAACCTCTCTTCCAGAAGATACGCCTTGCGCTCGATGGAATTGAGACGCGCACCGATGAACCGGATGTCTTGCGTCGGTTCGAGGTGGGACTTCTGCACATTCACCGCGAGGCCGAGATTCTGAAGCAAAGTGAGAGTGAAGTCCAGATGTTGGAGGAGTTGTGAGCGAGAGGCCCCAACGACCAGCCAATCATCAATGTAAGGAAACACCATAACGCCCTTCACCCGTAAGTGAGCCGCCACCCCTGCCATGACCTTGGTGAAGACCCGAGGTGCAGTACAGATTCCGAACGGAAGAACCCGGAAAGAATAAGCCTTGTCGCCTATCTTGAAGGAGAGGCACTTGTGGTGGCGTGGCGCAATGGCCACGTGGAAGTAAGCATCCTTGAGGTCTATCGTGGCAAACCACGCCCCTCGAGGAAGAAGTGGCAAGATGGTCTGGAGAGTCACCATACGAAACTTGCGTGGTCGGATGTAGTGGTTAAGACCACGCAGATCCAAAATAGGCCGTTGGCCTCCATCCTTCTTAGGGACTAGGAAATAGGTGGAGAAAAACGCAGAAGGAAACACAATTGCCCCTTTCTGGAGGAGGGTGCGAACCTCATCCAAAAGGGCATCCGAAGGCGGCGTAGTTCGAACAAAACCAAGGCGTGGAGTACTCTTGAACTCAATAGAGTATCCGTGGCGAACCACATCCAGCACCCACCTATCGGTGGTGATAGATCTCCATGCCTCGTAAAAGCCGGCCAAACGTGTGCCGAAGTGCAAAAGCGGTGGTGGTTGAGTAGAAATTGGAAGTGAAGACACCCTGTGAGGAAGGGAAGATGGAGGAGGAGGGAGAGGGGAGACGTCGCTAAAAACGACGCTTGCCCTTGGGCGGAAACTTCCCCTTACCTTGTTGACGCGTGGAAGACTGCGTCTGTCGTTTCGGGGAGCGTGGAGCTCGTGGTAGGTTGGAAGTGCGAGAAGAAGATGGAAACGACCTTCTGGAATAAGAGGTAGAAGGCTGCTGGCCTCTGGAGCGAGAGCGAGATGAAGGCTGAGTAAAGCCATACTTATTGGCTGCCTGAAGCACTTCCTGAGACTCCTTCAGATTAGTATCAGTCCCAGGGTTGAACAACCCATCATCATGAGCAGGCATGTCTTCTGCTAATATTCGTCCTTCCTCTGACAGGGTGGAGGTACGCAGCCACGCATGTCGTCTGATGGATGTGGCAAGGGAGAACAACTTTCCTGCTGTGTCGGCAGGGTGTTGAGCCATATCCTTATGGGCACGAGTGAGAATCAGGGCCTCATGATGATAAGCCTTAGCCACAGCCTGATGGGAAGGTGGAAGGAGATCTAGAAAAGGCCCAATTTTATTCCACAAAAAAGTATTGTAGGAGGACATATATGCTCCATAATGTGCCATTCGAGCCGTGAGGCTGGCATTGGCATGGGCCTTCTTCCCCATGGCCTCCATCTTTCTACTCTCCTTGTCTGGAGGAGTGGGCTGCGTCTTATGGGACTGCTTACATTTTGCTACCTTCACCACCACCGTGTTGGGTTTAGGGGGTCGTGCCACCCAATCCGCAGATCTAAGATCAATGTGGTAGCGTGCGTCCCATGCTCTAGAAACCGCTGGCACCGCTGACGGAGCCTGATCAGGGTTTTTAGTAAGTTGGAGCAAATAGGGAAGGGCTGGCAAAGAGGTAGGCGCCAAAGGCTGTCTAATTTGCTCATCAGGAGGAAACATCGGATCCTCAACTGTCTGCTGCTCCTTCTTTGGAGTCAAATTCAAGGCCTTAGACAGACGTATCATAAGGGCCAAGAAAGCAGAAGCATCCTCCGAGGGCTGAGGCTCAGCAACATCTGGAGGTTTGACAGGGCTTACAGAAGACCCAGAATCAGAAAGAGATGCTTCATCACGGTCTGCAGCATGCGAAGGAGTATGAGTCCCCTGTGGCTGTGAGAGACTTAAAGGCACAGTAGAGGGAGGGCAGTGTTGTACAGAAGCAACACAAGCCCGTGGTTCCTGCACTGGGGTGAGATGATAAGCTCTGCCCCCAGGCGAATAATGCACAAAGCCTTTCCCATACGAGGGAAAGCGGTGCCCTTCAGGCAGGTGTGCTGCTGGGGAGGCATAATGGCCACATGGCCCTGGGCTCCGGCCTCGAGAGGCCCAAGAACGCTGACCTGGAGAAGGACTTCTGGAACTCCAGGAGCTGCGGGAGGCCAGCGAAGGAGACCGTTGCGCCCGGCTCGACCTCTGCACCAGCACAGTGGCCGGAAGAGGGAGCGCCCGCTCGGGGCTGGGCGAGGGGCTTGGATGGGCAAATGCCCGGTGCCCCGTTGGAGCCTGCAAGCCCACAGAGGGCTGCACATGGCTGCTGGGCTGAGGCGTTAACTCCGGAGGAGGAGAAGCCCCGCCCGCACTTCCGGCTGACACCAGAAGTGCCTCCTGCGCCTGCGCCACGTGGTCTTGCAAGGAAGCCGGAGGCGGGCCAGAGGAGGAGGACGCCGGCAAGGCCTGCTCCAGGGAAGGAGCCTGTGGCGCTGCCGAAACAGTGCCGGCCAGGCGAAGAAGAGCGCTGGAAGGCAGAGACGCCATGCGTCTTTTGCTTCTTCTTTCCCCCTGCTTTCAGTGGCGAAGAACTCCGTGCAGGCACACTCTTCCTCTTGGAGGTAAGTAGCTACGGCTGCACAAGGGGGAGTTGAGGAGGCTCCGAAGCCGCTCGCCTTCCATCCGAAGTAGAAGGGAGGAGAGCCTGTTCACATAGCGCAGCCTGAAGCTGCCGCTCTCTGGACTTCCGTGCCTGAGGCGTAAAAGCCTTACAGGCAGAGCAAGTCTGCACAGAGTGGGATTCTCCCAAACAAAGCAAACACATAGCGTGAGCATCTGTAGCAGGGAGCACTCCCCCACAAGAAACACACTTTTTAAACATAGCCATAATATACAGACCAAGTCAGGGCGCCAGAGAGTAGGAGAATCGAATAGCCAGTCCAAGTCAAGGTTGGAGAGGAGAGAATAGTCAAGAAACAATCCAAGTCGTAGGTAAAAATCAGAGGTTCCCAAATGCTGCTGTTTAGGCGGCTGGAAAAAAAGGAAGTACACCTTCAGCCCCTCATCTGGCTTATATTGCCTCATGGGGAAGAGGGGCGGGGAAGGCAGCCACAAGCCTTCTCAGCTTGTCAGAGTTTCCAATGATTGCTGCACAGGTGCATCAAATATCACATGTGCTTATTTCAACAGACACCACGAAGGAGAACCGAGTCCACACTCAGATATTGTGAGATTTTCTGCCTTGATATTCTGGGATAGAGGGCTGTGTGGAAGGGACCTCTGTTTGACATGCGTCTCTCTAGACTTCACTAAAGCAAACCAGTAAAAACTAAATCCCTGTCTCCCTAAAAATACTTGTATAGGTGCTACAGCCTCCTTCCCTGCTTGTCCAAGTTCGTGCTCCTTCTTCCTACCGGCTGTGAACTGGACTGAGAGGCTTTGAATAATCTACCTCGTTTTTACAGCTTATTCTTGCCCTGGTTGTTGCTCTCAGTATTGGGCATCATGTCCAAAAGTTTTCTCCTGTTTTCATGTACCGAATGCAGTAAAAGAACAGATGATTCAGGGGAGCTTTGCAGTTTTGTAAAGATACTGAAAGTGTGTATCACAGCTTTCCTAGGGAGGCGACTCTTGCTCCTAGCAGTAGCATCTATAGCAGGCATGGGCAAACGTTGGTCCTCCAGGTGTTTTGGACTTCAACTCCCACAATTCCTAACAGCCGGTAGGCTGTTAGGAATTGTGGGAGTTGAAGTCCAAAACACCTGGAGGACCAACGTTTGCCCATGCCTGATCTATAGTGTCGTCTCCATCCCATCCTTGCAGAAGGTTGCTTTAAGGTGCCATATTGCAACTTTGAGATTTCTCTCCCCATCCTTAATGTTGATGGGAGGACTGTCCAGAAATGTTTCCAACCTGTGTCCTTCAGGTCTAAAATTGTTGAACAAATCAAACCAGTGAGGGGAAAACTGAAGAATTTTTTTAATTCCTGCTGTTAGCAGTAAGATATAAAGCAGAGGACTCCCAGCTTCAATCAGATGATGGCCTCGGCGTGAAAAATCAAGTTTCTCAAGCATTAGCATTCTTCAACTCGGAAATGTTTCACTTCAGGTGCTTTATTGCACCTCCCTCCCTGCCTAGGTGCTACTAATGGAGTATATTCCTACGTGGAAAGTGTCCAACAGGTCAAACTTCTCAACAGGGGAAGTAGTTACCATTTGGAGGGACAGGGAGCCATGGCGCAGCAGTTTAAACCAGGTTTGTATTGCAACTCTTGTGCTCCATGACCCAAGGGCTTTGGTTTTCTACAAGTTATCATTGTTAGCATCCAGCGCTTCAGAAGTGGTGACAAAAATACCTTCGGGGATGTATCCATGTCTCTTCCTTTCCCAAACCCCAGCAATAGGGTTTGTTGTGTTTTTTTAAATAAATAAATAAATAAAACAAAACACAAGGCTTTGGGTGCTCTTTTGTTTCCTGATGATTGAATATAATGTTTGCAGCAATATCTATGATTTTATTTAGAGGAAATTGGAATGCAGGTTGACTATCCCTTATCCAGTTATCTCTGAAATGGCAGGTATCGGTGCCTTTTGCCGTTTCATAGATCCTCACATCTCTCTCTAGCCTCACATTGTATTAGTTCACTGTTTGGGTTGCATATGAAACACAAGGCAACAAAGAGAGCACCCGCTTCTGCTGCAAAAATGAACAAATAGGGAACTGCAATCTCAAAGTGATAATGACAAAAAGTATTTCGGATAAGGGATATTCAACTTGCATTTGTTTGCTACTGCTCACTGGGCTCAATGTGTAATTATTATTTTTTACTATTTTTTTTATTTATATACGGCATTTATATGCCACCCTTCTCACCCTGAAGGGGACTCAGAGCAGCTTACAAGTCATATGCACATACAACATACTACATTATTAGCATAGTACTGGGACATCATTCATAATATTAGTATTATATAACATTATATTGTTGCTGGGGGAGGGAATCTGATGTCACAGGAGACAAGATGGAACTGTCTTCCCAGCTCCCCTTTAGTCTGGCCCCAGAGCGGCCGTTGGTGCTGGGGGAGGGGCTCTGACTCAAACAATGATGAATCTGGACAAAACTTGGCACAGATTGTCAATATGTCCAAATGTGAACACTGGTGGAGTTTTGGGAAACTCCACAAGATCTTATCATTTGGGAACTTATCATTTAGGAGCTGTATTTGCTGGGATTTATAGTTCATCTACAATCGAAGAGCACTCTGAACCCAACCCACAATGGATCTGCACCAAACTTGGCACACTACCTTCATGGCCAACATTGAATAATGGTGGGATTGGGGCGGGGGGCTGTTTTTTGAATTCTGGGAGTTGTAGTTCACCAACACCAAAAAGGAAGAGATGGATAGGTGGAGAGATCTTCAGCCTTCTCTGCCAAACAGATTCTTAAGACTACCAGAAATAGGTGTTTTCTGATAGTTTTTGGTGACCCCCTCTGACATTCCCCTTGTGACCCCCACCCAGGGGTTCCCACACCCAGGTTGAGAAACACTGTATTAGCCATTCTCTCTTGTGTTTTTGGAGAGTGCAAACAATTCCCCATTTCTCTCATTAGAAGACTTCCTGTCTTCCAAGAGATACATTGCCTCCCTTACCAACACCATAAAAAAACAAAAATAAAGTTTTTTTTAAAAAAAATCATGCTCCAAGGTCATCTTTAAAATTGCTTTTTTATATTTTATTAACATTCCAAGAAAAATAAAACACAAAAAAATCGAGGCTAAGTGTGGAGTCTCACTTTTTTAAAGTCATCAACTACATACCATGGACCTATTCGCTCCTCTTCATTCACAACAACTGCCTGCCCGGATACTTGGAGGGTAAAATCTACAATGGGTTGTAAGGAAGACAATTTGGCAAGTTTTAGAAGGAACGTGGGAGTTTGTATGTTTATAATTAGTCCAGGAATTATGATGGAAGACTGGACAGAGAATAGAAGACCGGAGAAGGAACAACAAAGAAGGAGAAAAATCCAAAATTTAAACCAAGAGTATGAAGTCCAAAGAGGAGGAGAAACAGGCTGTTAATGTGCTGTGTAACTGCTACACAGCAGGAATAAAAAGGAGCAGGCTATTAAGCTGTATATACCAAGTCCTGAAAAACAAGATGCAAGTAGAAAGCGAAATCTGACTACTTAAATCAACTTTCCCTGTACAATGTGGATGTATGTGTCTAAGCCATAGTGCAATAAAAATAGATGTCATTAGTTTTCACGTCATTAGTTGGCCAGCAGTTCCATGTGCGATGCTCATGCCAAGAAAAGCAAAGAATCTGGCAGCCTTTGCACCACACGTGAATTTGCAAAAATACCCTAGTAATACTTAACAGGGAAACTCTTTTGGCAGCTTGTAGGCAACGTATGGATTTGTAAAAATATCCTACAGTTGCGTAATGGGAAGGAACAACAGCAACACCAAACACAAATATATTCAACCGCCAGTTTCTGGTATTCCTCACCCTGGTGTTGCTTGGGATCTCATCACACTAGAGAATGAATCCCACTTTAAATCCGGTTTCTGCCTTCTGCAGAATTCTGGGGTTTGTAGTTTAGAGAGGAGCCTTTAACAACCTCACTAAACTACAAACCCCAGAATTCTGCAGGAGGAAGACATCGGATTTTAAGTAGATCCATTCTCTAGTGTGGTGAAGTAGCTGGATATCACAAGCACATTTTCAGACATTTGTGCGACATATGTGCTAATAAAAAAGCACCCATGTCCTCAGGAAGGCTGAATGAACTCTATTTGGAAATAGCCAGAATCATATACAACTGACTATGTTGTGGAACTTTATGGGCACCCAGGTATGTGCAAAAATGCTAAGAAACCCCTAAATTGCGAAGATGAATAACAGAATACCAGCAAGAGCACCTGATGTGCAACAGAACCGATCTGCAGTGATGGACATTGGCCATTTTGTCGGTAGTGCTACACAGTAATGTAACATCAGATCTTTATGAGAATATGGCCATTACACAACTGTGCAGTTCTAATGCCCACAAACCTATGTTTACATATGAACATGTAACAAAATTCCCGCAAAGAGACACAAGATACCAGCTAAATGCAATTGATGTGCAACCCAGTCCGCAAGTTTGTAAATGTGATGTACAAAAGAGACAAAGTCTCAGAATGTTAAAAAGAGGTTTATAATATTATTGAGGATTGCCCAATGTATTTTGGTCTAAAATATGACCTTCCTCGGGAACAGTTCAAAGAAAAGGCGACAACACATTGGTAACACTAGTAATGAGAGACACGTTGCAGTCAGCAAAATCAATTATAACTTATATCGAATTATATGTATAACTTATATACATATGTGTGTGTGCATATATAACTGGATTGTAGGTTTTTTCGGGCTATATGGCCATGTTCTAGAGGCATTCTCTCCTGATGTTTTGCCTGCATCTATGGCAAGCATACTCTGAGGATGCTTGCCATAGATGCAGGCGAAACGTCAGGAGAGAATGCCTCTAAAACATGGCCATATAGCCCGAAAAAACCTACAACAACCCAGTGATTCCGGTCATGAAAACCTTCGACAATGTGTGTATAACTTTTATCAAATTAAATACAATATTTTGTCGAAGGCTTCCATGGCGGGAACCACTGGGTTGTGAGTTTTCCAGGCTGTATGGCCATGTTCCAGAAGCATTCTGTCCTGGCGTTTCACCTACATCTATGGCAGGCACCCTCAGAGTCTACAACCTCTGAGGTTGCCTGCCATAGATGTGGGTGAAACGTCAGGAGAGAATCCTTCTGAAACATGGCCATACAGCCCGGAAAACTCACAACAACACAGTAAATACAATTTTGTTTTTTTTTAAAAAAAAAAATTATAGTAAGCAAAATAAACTTTCACAAATACAAAATAATACTTCTAGCTTTAAAATCAGCCTGAAGGAATTCTAGATTGTAAGCACTGTTTTCCATAAGTGCAAATTTATTATGCTTGTTGCCAATGTGTCGTCCCTATCCCTTGTAACAGCACGACTTTTAGAATATTCCCAGGCTCACATGTGCTGGAAAAAAATATTTTTGGGAGTATAGCTCCAAGAAGATTCAGATAGCATATCTAGTGTATTGTTGAAGGCTTTCATGGCCAGAATCACTGAGTTGTTGTAGGTTTTCTGGGCTGTATGGCCATGTTCTAGAAGCATTCTCTCCTGACGTTTTGCCTGCATCTATAGCAGGCATCTTCAGAGGTTGTGAGACTTCCCAACCTCTGAGGATGCCTGCCATTTATATAGGCGAAATGTCAGGAGAGAATGCTTCTAGAACATGGCCATACAGCCTGAAAAAACCTACAACAATCCAGCATGTATAGTATCCAAAAAGTATTTTTTCCCAAAAGCTCTTATCCCAGAATATCGCATCTCTTTTCAACATCCTGAGACTCTTTTCTACATCACATCTATGGGATATTTCCAGTCTTCTCTGCTTTTCTTCCGTGTGTTTATGAAACCTCAGATTCTGAGGATGTCGCATTCTACATTCCAACGCAACCATGAGCCAACTGAGCATCAAAAATATACATCATCTGACCAGTGGTGGATATTTCGCCTCTGCTCAAATCAAATACAATGTTTGCTTGCAGTGCTGTGAATAGTTTGTGCATATGGCTTCAATTTTTTGCAAATGTGCACAAGTTTCTTGCTGAAAGGTTATTTTTTGGGGGGCGGGGCTTTGTGTATGGGCACAATGTGCGAAGAAATGCGTGCCTCCTTACAAATGTATGCATAACAACCAGACAGCAGACTTGAGGTAAGCACACAGATGTACATGTTTGCATAACTGTCCAGGTTGAAAAATATGCCACTTCTCAGGACATACGTGATGTTCACTTAACATACAGTGTGGTTTGTTTTTCAGCATGGTATACACAGCTTGGCCTTTGGGAACTGGGCAGGGTCTCCAAATTTGAAAGGCAAAGTGAGTTGGAGAAGCAGTGGTAAGACCATAAACAGCATGAACTGGGATGCCAAAGGGCAGTTTTGTATAACCCCCAAATCCCTCCCTTGATATATCCCGCTATTTACAATGATGCCAGCACATTCACCGTTGTGTCCAAATAATCCATTTTCCTCCCCTTGCCTTTAAGTTGTCCAGGTTCTTGAGAGCTTTGCTCTAAGGCCTCTCACCATTGCTGAGACCCTTGTTTTGGGATAAGTCACCCTCCGTTTCCCCGTCCTCATGCACTCGCTGGTGGAGCGTGAGGTTCCGGAGCTGACGGAAACTCTTGCTGCAGCGCATACAGGGGTAAGGCCGCCCCGCCGCAGCTGCTGCATGGATCTGCTGGTGGGCTGCCAGCTTGGAGGGGTAGCAAAAACTCTTCCCGCAGCGGTTGCAAGGGTAGGGTCGCTGGCCCGTGTGCGTGCGGCGGTGGGCCGCCAACTTGGAAGGGTAGCAGAAGCTCTTGGGGCAGTCAGCACATTTGTAGGGTCGCTCGGGCGTATGGATCCATTGGTGGGCGGCCAGCTTGGAGCGGTGTCCGAAGCGCTTGGGGCAGAGGGTGCAGGGATAGGGGCGCTCGCCGGTGTGCGTGCGGCGGTGGGCAGCCAACTTGGAGGGGTAGCTGAAGCTTTTGGGGCAGTCGGGGCATTTGTAAGGGCGCTCAGCACAGTGGGTCCATTGGTGCGTTGCCAGCTTGGAGCGGTACACAAAGCGCTTGCCGCAGTCCTTGCACTGGTAGGGCCGGTCGGAGGGCAGTACTGCAGGCGGCCGCGGACGGCGGGGACGGGGCGGCTTGGGGGACTCCGTGGTGGGCGGAGATGACAAGGCCGTCGGGGAAGGTGACTTGGCGTTCTCCTTCAGGGCTTGTGCATCTGGAAGAAGAAGAAAAAATCTGACAAATCCACTGTTTGCTTAAAAACCTGCGCCAGCAACTGGGGGAACCATTGTATTGCCTCTTCATCCTTGGTCCCTACCTTGACTGTTAATCCTAGGATTCCATAGGATGGCCACATGGCAGATAAAGTGGAATCATAGCCCTATAATTCTGTAGTGCACACAAATTTGCACACAATCTGCATATGTAGGTAAAATTTGTATAAAATGTATATATAGGCAAAATCTGCATAAAATTTGTATATATGTGGAAATCATCTTGAGTCGCCTTTGGGCTGAGAAAAGCCTGTATATAAATACGGTAAATAAATAAATAAATTTGGACAAAATGCACTAGTGCGTGGAATTGACGTATGATTCGGATTTGTCTCTTGGCAAAATTGGCATAAAATTTGCATAAAATGCCCAAGTGTGTGGAATTTGCATACATTGTGGATTTGCGTATATTGGTTAAGCTTGCATAAAATCAGCATCTGTGGGCAAAATTTGCATAAAATGTCCCAGTGCATGGAATTTTCATACATTTTAAATATGTTGTTTTATTTTTATTCTGTAATTCTGTAGTGCACACAATCTTCATTTATTTATTTATTTATTTATTTATTTATTTTATTATTTGAACTTATATGCCGCCACTCCCCTGGGGGGCTCGGAGCAGCTTACAAGAACAGGCTAAAATTGAACACAATTTAAAACAATTTAAAAACAGCAATACGGATGCAATTTGTATAAAATGTGCATATATTGGTATAATTTGTATAAAATGCATACATGGACAAAATTTACATAAATATTGCACACACACACACGCACACACACACATATATATATATGGCAAAATTTGCGTTAAATGCCCAAGTTTATAGAAACTGCATACGGTGTGGATTTGTCTATCTTGGCAAAATTGGCATAACATTTACATAAAATGCCCAAGTGCATGGCATTTGCATACATTGTGGATTTGCGTATATTGGCTATTTGCATAAAATCAGCATCTGTGGGCAAAACTTAGAATCAACATACATTGGTTAAAAATTTGTATAAAATCTGCATATATGGGCATAAAATGCCCCAATGCATGGAATTTGCATATGTTGTGGATTTGCGTATGTTGGTGATATTGCCATAAAATCGGCATATGTGGGCAAAATTTGCATAGAATTGGCATATATTGGTAAAATGTGTATAAATTCTGCATATATAGGCAGATTTAAAGTAATTTTTATTACTTATTACAATTAAAAATTGATATGTTTTTAACTATGTGATTTCAAATAATATGTTGTTTTATTTTTATATGTATCAAGGCATCAAAATGTGCCCTTTGTTGTAAGCTGCCCTGAGTCCCCATCGGGGTAAGAAAAGCAGGATATAAATGAGGTAAATAAACAAATAGTGTGAATGGGCCCCAAATCAAGAACATCCCAGTCCTTTCTTACCCACAATGCTGCTACTCAGAGGGTGGTTGACCACTCCATTCTTGGTGTTGCTCATGCAGGGCTGTTCCCCTCTTTCCAGCATCAGGACGAGGGTTGGGCGGGTGAGAACGTAACCTGTGCAAAGGGGAAAAGGAAAGAGATCTGCATCATATGTCAGTTACCCTCTTTCCCCAAAAATAAGACAGTGTCTTATATTAATTTTTGCTCATAAGATGCCCTAGGTCTTATTTTCAGGGGATGTAAAACAACATTTACTATATACTATACAGTAGTTGACGTCACAAACCAGAAAAGCAGACACCTCTTAAAGAATCAAAGGGACACACTGGTTGCCTGACTCACATACAAAGACACAAATAATAAGGGCTATAAAGTAACTGGCTCCCACACATTGTCTGGAGACTGTAATGATCTCCCACAGCAGTTCCTGGAACACTGGCACAGCAGAGATGGTATTGCAGCTTTCAGCCACCAGGGGGAGCGCAAAAACTTCACTAGGACTTACTTTCAGGGGAAGCCTTATATTTAGCAACTAGCTGTCCCCTGCCACACGTTGCTGTGGCCCAGTCTGTGTACATGTGTTTTGTGTGTGTATATATGTGTATATGTATGTATGTATATATGTGTGTGTGTGTGTGTATCTGTGTGTTTGTTTATATATGTGGTTTTGTGCATGCATTGTAATGTATTTTTTGTTTTTTGGCTTTTTATGTCCCTTCCACTGTGTTTTTCACTGTTTTTCTGAGTGATGATCACTCATTGGCCTGATAGGTGTATTGTGTCCAAATTTGGTGTCAATTTGTCCAGTGGTTTTTGAGTTATGTCAATCCCACAAACGAATATTACATATTTATTTATATAGACTAACTGACCCCGCCACATGTTGCTGTGGCTAACCTTCCCTCCCTCCCTCTTTCTCTTCTTTCTTTCTCTCCTTCCTTCCTTCTCTCCTTCTTCCCTTCCATTCCCCTTCACACACGAACCTTTTCTTTCCCTTCCTCTTTCTCTCCTTTCTTCCTTCTCTACCTATTCTTGTACTGCAACTCGCAGCAGTCCTCCTGATCCATCTATCTACCTACCTACCTGCCTATCTCTATCTAATCTATCTGTCTGGAGGATTGCTGGGAGTTGCAGTCCAAGAATAGGAAATTGGAAATATGCAAGGATTAGGATGCTCTCAAGGAAATCCAAGGAGAAGAAAGCTTGCATCTTGGAAGCAGTACATTTGGATAATCCCCCTCTCCTAAAGGGCCTGGTCTAGGGGATGCTGGGAGCTGTAGTCCAGAAGAGAATGAGGATATGCTATTGTGTGTTTTGTTTGCCCAGGGAGTCGTTTTTTCGCATGCGCTGTAACGTCTTTTTGCTTTTTGGGGTTTTTAAGTCCCTTCCACTGTGTTTTTAAGCGTTTTTCTGAGTGATGGTCACTCGTTGGCCTGATAGGTGTATTGTGTCCAAATTTGGTGTCAATTCGTCCAGTGGTTTTTGAGTTATGTTAATCCCACAAACGAACATTACATTTTTGTTTATATAGATTCAGCAAAACCTCTACTAGGTCTTATTTTCAGGGAATGTCTTATTTTTGGGAAAATAGGGTAAGAAGGACAGGGCCCAGATTTTATGTGAATGCTCCACCTGCAAAATCACACTGAGAAAAGCTAATTGATCTGTAGAGTTGCTAGATTGAAAAAAAGGAGAGGACTCTTGTATCTTTAAGAGTCGTTTGGAAAAGAAAATGTCAACATGTGGTTTTTGTTGTTGTTATGCAATCGTAAAACATATACATAAGAATAATTTCCAGGTTGTTGTGTTTTTTTTCTAATTTTCACTCAGATTTTTCTAATTTTCATCCCATTTTTCCCTATGGGCATAAGTAAACTTGATATAGCTCATTGTATTCCTCTTAAATCATTTTAAAAGTAAAGAGAAGGGGATATGTTGCTGAATTTAGGAATCATGGATAATAGCAAACCCTATTGCAAGTCGCTTCTGGTGTGAGAGATTTGGCCGTCTGCAAGGACATTGCCCAGGGGATGCCCGGATGTTTACCGTCCTGTGCGAGGCTTCTCTCATGTCCCCGCATGAGAAGCTGAAACTGACAGATGGAAGCTCAACCCACTCCCTGAATTCGAACCACTGACCTTTTTGGTCAGCAGCTGGATACGGGTGCTTTGATTGTGCTTTTCCTGCATGACTCATGTAGAATCATAGAGTTGGAAAAGACCACATGGGCCATCTAGTCCAACCTCCTGCCATTCAGGAAAAACACAATCAATGCAGCCCCAACAGATGGCCATCCTGCCTGTTTTAAAGCTTCCGAGGAAGGAGCTTCCACCACACTCCGAGGCAGGGAGTTCCACTGTTGAACAGCTCATACGGTCAGGAAGTTCTTCCTCATGTTCAAGTGGAATCTCCTTTCCTGTCATTTGAACCCACTGCTCCCAAGCCTAGTCTCCAGGGCAACGGAAAACATATCAGGTCCCTCTTCCTTATAATATCCTTTCACATCTTTAGACATGTCTCTGCTCAACCTTCCCTTATATTATAATAATAATAATAATAATAATAATAATAATAATAATAATAATGACATCCTTTCACATCTTTAGACATGTCTCTGTTCAACATTCCCATATAAAATTATTATTATTATTATTATTATTATTATTATTATTATTATTAATAATAATAATAATAATACATCACAGTCCTAGACGCTTGGGAAGTGTTCAACTTGTGATTTTGCGAAATCCAGCATAGTGATCTCATTTGCTGTGACATACTGTGTTTTTGTGTCAGTAAAATAATAATAATAATAATAATAATTTATATTCTGCCTTATCCTCCTAAAGCAGTGGTTCTCAACCTGGGGTCCCCAGATGTTTTTGGCCTACAACTCCCAGAAATCCTAACAGCTGGTAAACTGGCTGGGATTTCTGGGAGTTGTAGGCCAAAAACATCTGGGGACCCCAGGTTGAGAACCACTGTTCTAAAGGGACTCAGGACAGATTCCAATCACAAAAAAGGCAGACATTCAATGACTGAACATAATGACTAATAGACACATAATAACAAAAACTAAACACCACAATATATAAAAACAAATTATAACTTAGCAAATGAGAATAAAATGTAAACAACCTATTATATCAGACATAAAACAAACATAGAACATAAAAACAGAAGCATCAATTTCCCAGAGTCAACAGAGTTCCTTGGGGGCGTTTACATTTCTGCAGGCTGAACATACCCAGTATCCTCTCCTCCAACTCTATGATGTTTAATGTTTTGCATATTGGTGTGTTTTAAACTGTATGCTAATGCTTTTATATTAAGCCGCTTCGAGTCACATTCGGGAGAGAAAAACTGGGTAACAATAACAGTAATAATAGCAATAATAATAATAACTCTAATAATAAATAATAAAAATAATAAAAATCCAGACTCTGGCACAAGCCAGTCAAAGTGGTCCCAGTGGTGATTGGCACACAGGGTGCAGTGCATAAAGACCTTGGCCTGCACTTAAACACAACCGGCGCTGACAAAATTACCATCTGCCAGCTACAGAAGGCCACCTTACTGGGATCTTCATGCATTATTTGCCGATACATCACACAGTCCTAGACACTTGGGAAGTGTCCGACATGTGATCCAATACAATAGCCAGCAGAGTGTCTGCTGTGGACTAATCTTGTTGTATTTCAAAAAATAATAATATGATTCTATGGATAGATCTGTACTTCCTTGTATCCCAGGAAATGATCCATATTATCTACTTATATGAGTCTTCAGGATAACCAGGAATCAGATCCTGGGATGTAGGGATGTTTGGATCCAGCCTAAAATCCAGCTGAATACATTAAACTGCATTATATGGCAGTGTACCTGGGTCTATACCAGACATGGGCAAACTTGGGCCCTCCAGGTGTTTTGGACTTCAACTCCCACAATTCCTAACAGCCGGTAGGCTGTTAGGAATTGTGTGAGTTGAAGTCCAAAACACCTGGAGGGCCCAAGTTTGCCTATGCCTGGTCTATACTGACCATATCATGCAGATCAATCTGGCGGTCAGTATTAAAAAAAACTCTAAAATCATAACAGTAAATAAAGAACACTAAAAAACAGGAGAATTCCAGACAAGAACAGCTAATCACCTCTCAACAAAGGATTTCCCCAGGCAGTAAGAAGCCAGACCTTGAAAACTAGTACGCCAGCAAAGGCTAATCAAGGTAGCCAATTGCTACATTCACACCTAGCTCCAACAGACATGAGTTCTTTCTCCCATCCTGGACCCTCCACAGATATATAAACCCCATTTTCCTAGTTTCCAACAGACCTCACAACCTCTGAGGATGCCTGCCATAGATGCAGACGAAAAAAGTCAGGAGGAAATGCTTCTGGAACGTGGACATAGAGCTCGAAAAACTTGCAAAAACTCAAACTATATTATTTGGAGATCCAGACAGAGGGGGAAAATGCCTTGCCCCTCCCCTCCTTCCATACAAAGCAGGAATCCAAATCATTAACCCCCCCAATCCAAACTGTATCTCCCCTCCTTCCCACATAGCATCCCACAATTGCACAGAATTGCAGCATCTGTGCAACCCAGCTGGGCCTTCTGGCCCTTCTTCCATCATCATCCATCCTCAATCTCCCTCTGCAATCACTCACCGGGCCCCTTTCCACCCCTGGCCTCGGGCTGCCTCTGGGGTCTGCCTTTCATGAGCCGATCTCGGCGGGTCATGCTCTCCTCCCCTCGGGGGGCCAAGCCTGGAAGCCTCCCAGCATCCCGGCCCTGGTCGGCCAAGCAGAGTATCCCCAAGCAGAGGCTGGAAACAGGGAAGGGTCCTTTTCTCCAGGAGGGAGGGGCAGAGGACAGAGAGCAGACCCAATGACGTCACTGTGACGGATGGAGGGAGGGGAGTAGGGTCTGCCTGCCTCCTTCCAATCTAGGCACATGCACTGATAAAGAGAGATAGATGCACACATACACACATATATTGTATAGACAAACATACCCACACACACATATATCTCAGTTAACCGACAGGAAGGTTTGGGGAGTGGGAGATGCTATAAGACAAAATATTTATAGACAGAGGGAGAGAATTAGACAATAATAACAATAATAATAATAAAGATAAAACAAATAGATCGAGCTGCAAAGACTGACACAAGCCAGTAAAGGTAGTCCGGGTGGTGATCGGCACACTGGGTGCAGTGCCTAAAGACCCTGGCCTGCATTTAAACACAATCAGCGCTGACAAAATTACTGTCATCTTCAAAAGGCCACCCTACTTGGATCTGCATGCATTATTCACCGATACATCACACAGTCCTAGACACTTGGGAAGTGTCCGATGTGTGATCCAATTCAACAGCCAGCAGAGTGTCTGCTGTGGACTCCCTCTTGTTGTGTTAATAATAATAATAATAATAATAATAATAATAATAATAATAATACACTTTTAATAATAATACATAATTACCAGGATCTGCACACATTATTCGCCGATACATCACACAGTCCTAGACACCTGGGAAATGTCCGACGTGTGATCCAATTCAACAGCCAGCAGAGTGTCTGTTGTGGACTCCTCTTGTTGTGTTTCAAATAAATAAATAAATAAATAAATAATACACTTTTAATAATACTAATGCATAATTACCAGGATCTGCACACATTATTCGCCGATACATCACACAATCCTAGGCACTTGGGAAGTGTCTGACGTGTGATCTAATTCAGCAGCCAGCAGAGTGTCTGCTGTGGACTCCTCTTGTTGTGTTTCAAATAATAATAATAATAATAATAATAATAATAATAATAATAATAATAATAATAATAATAATAATGCATTATTCGCCGATACATCACACAATCCTAGACACTTGGGAAGTGTCCGACGTGTGATCCAATACAACAACCAACAGAGTGTCTGCTGTGGACTCATCTTGTGGTGTTTCAAATAATAATAATAATAATAATAATAATAATAATAATAATAACAATAATAACAATAATAACAACAACATGCACTGGCAGATTATGTGAAAGGCAGTCAAGAACCAACATTGAGGGAAGTCAATAGTAGTAAACTGCTTCAAGTGCAAAAGACAAAGAGTGAATACTGTAAAAACACAATCCAGAGCAGAAGAGAAAACTGGCAAAAGAAGGCTCTCCATGGACAGTTCCTGGGAAAAATTGAGAGCCAAATTGACAAAGAAAAAACATGGCTGTGGCTCACAAATGGAACTTTGGAAAAAGGAGATGGAGGGCCTGATTCTGGCAGCCCAAGAACAAGCCATTAGAACCAATGCCATCAAAGCCAGAATTGAAAAGTCGCCGACAGATCCCAAATGTAGACTCTGCAAGGAAGCAGATGAAACAATAGATCCCATCCTCAGATGCTGCAAGAAGATCGCGCAGACAGACTACAAGCAGAGGCACAACACCTTTGCTCAGATGATTCATTGGAACTTGTGCCACAAATACCATCTGCCTGCGACAAAGAACTGGTGGGATCACAAGCCTGAAAATGAACACATCAAACTACTCTGGGACTTCCAAATTCAGACAGACAGAGTTTTGGAGCACAATACTCCTGACCTCACAATCGTGTTAAAAAACAAAGTATGGATCATCGATGTCACAATCCCAGGCAACAGCAGGATTGAAAAACAACTGGAAAAGCTGACACGATATGAGGATTTAAAAATCGAACTGCAAAGACTCTGGCACAAACCAGTAAAGGTGGTCCCAGTGGTGATCGGCACACTGGGTGCAGTGCCTAAAGACCTTGGCCTGCACTTAAACACAATCGGTGCTGACAAAATTACCATCTGCCAGCTGCAGAAGGCCACCTTACTGGGATCTGCATGCATTATTCGCCAATACATCACACAGTCCTAGACACTTGGGAAGTGTCTGACATGTGTGATCCAATTCAACAGCCAGCAGAGTGTCTGCTGTGGACTCATCTTGTTGTGTTTCAAATAATAATAACATACATACATCACGCAGTCCTAGATGCTTGGGAAGTGTTCGCCTTGTGATTTTGTGATACGAAATCCAGCATATAGATCTCGTTTGCTGTGACACACTGTGCTTTTGTGTCAGTAAAATAATAATAATAATAATAATAATAATAATAATATATTTCTAACCTGTACCTCTCTCCCCGAAGAGACTCAGGGCAGCTCCGTGTGTGTGTGTGTGTGTGTGTGTGTGTGTGTGTGTGTGTGTGTGTGTGTATTCTCTCTCTTTCTGTCTTTCTCTTGCTCTACACGAAATATGTCACTAAATTTCAGAGGAAAGAACTCGAAGAATTACCTTTGAGTACTTCCTAAGAAAACACTAAGAAATTCATGGGGTTACACCATGAACACAAACACATATATATCACACACACATAAGTTACATGGAAACACAAACATATACTGCATGTCCTCCGAAATGTATACACCATTAACAGTTTTTTCCTCCTAAAAACCCCTATAAACCAGGGGTCCTCAAACTTAAGCACGGAGTCGGGTTCGGCCCTCCAAGATTTACCCGGCCCTTGCTCAGGGTCAACTTAAGACAGAAACGACTTGAAAACACACAACAACGACAACAATCCTATCTTATCAGCCAAACGCAGGGCCATACTTCCCGTTTAAGTACTAATAAGTTTATATTTGTTAAAATTGTTCTTCATTTTAATTATTGTATTGTTTTAAGTGTTTTTGCACTACAAATAAGATATGTGCAGTGTGCATAGGAATTCAAATTATGATTTTCTTCTAATTATAATCCGGCCCTCCAACAGTTTGAGGGACTGTGACGTGGCCCTCTGTTTAAAGAGTTTGAGGACCCCTGCTATAAACTCTTATGAGAGTAAAGATTCCTGTTACAAGAGTTCGGCAACTCTGTGCTTCAACCAATGAGAATTTTAATCTATTTGAGAATAAGAACAGGCAGACTTCATAGAATCATATAGAGTTGGAAAAGACTCCAAGGGCCATCCAGTCAAACCCTTTTCTGCACACCGCACCTATCTCCAAAAACCTATCCCTTTCACCTGTCATGTCCAGCATTTTTCAAATTTTATTCATTACATTTGGCCCGGCCTCAGTTTTTAAATGCGTCGTGGTGTTACTGTCTAATGCTTATTGTTATTGTTTTAATGTTTATTGCTTTGCTTTATGAGTTTATTTATGGTTGTATTTGTTATGCTGTTGTTTATTTATTTATTTATTTACTTTGCTTATATACCGCTGTTCTCAGCCCGGGAGCGACTCACAGCGGTGTACAACATAGAAAGAACAAGGTTCAAAATTCAAGACACAATCTAAAATAATCAGTCCAGCATTAACCAAAAACATCATCATCAAAAAACATCATCAATACTACAAAAGCCATTCCACATCGTCTCATCGTCTAAACCACAATCCAGTATCATTTTCCGTTGTTCCATTCCTGTCGTCATTACCAATTATTGCACTTCTTGTTCGAACGCCTTCTTGAACAGCCAAGTCTTTAGTTTCCTGCGGAATATCATCAGGGAAGGAGCCAGTCTGATGTCCACGGGAAGGGTGTTCCACAGATGTGTTGGGCTTTGGCCTCTTGTAAGCCGCACCAAGTCCTTCGGGAGATGTTAAAGGTAAAGGTAGTCCCCTGACATTAAGTCCAGTCATGTCTGACTCTGGGGTGTGGTGCTCATCTCCATTTCTAAGCCGAAGAGCCAGCGTTGTCCGTAGACACCTCCAAGGTCATGTGGCTGGCATGACTGCATGGAGAGCCGTTACCTTCCCGCCAGAGCGGTACCTATTGATCTACTCACATTTGCATGTTTTCGAACTGCTAGGTTGGCAGAAGCTAGGGCTGACAGCGGAAGCTCACGCCGCTCCCCGGAATCGAACCTGCGACCTTTCGATCAACAAGCTCAGCAGCTCAGTGCTTTAACCCACTGCGCCACCGGGGGCCATCTAGTCACACCCTTTTCCGCCATGCAGGAAGACACAATCAGAGTACTCCAGACAGATGGCCATCCAGCCTCTCCTTTAAAAACTGCAGAGGAGACTCCAATGGATTCCAAGGCTTCATATTTCCCTATTGAACACTATTGTCTATCATAAGACTTGGGGATCCATAGATTTTGGTATCAATTGTAGGTCCTGGAAACAAATCCCAACAGACACCAAGGACCCACTGTAGTTTAAAAAAAAAAAAAGATATAGTGACTATACTAGTATAAACTATCCAAAGCAGGAAAAATAGAAAGTGATCAAGATGGGGAAAGTTCTTAAGGAGGAGGAAGACCCATGTTAGGAAAAGCTGCAGCAGTTTGCTTTTGCATACGAGTCTTTGGGTGGCTTGGAAGAATAAATAATAATAATAATAATAATAATAATAATAATAATAATAATAATAATAATAATAATAGACATCTGAATTACATATAAGAAGAAGAAAAACAGCACAATCCGGTATAGCAAAGGCAATTAAACAGAAGCAGTGTTAAGAGTACAACAATATACATATATATACAAACCTGCAGCAGAGGCAGCAGAGCAAATCTGCGCCTGGGCGAAACCACTTTCAAGGATGAACTCCCCTCCCCCCTCCCTTCCTTTGTCGAATGGTTTTGCCCAACGAAGGAGGCCGCGGAAGGCTATCCCAACGGTGGCTAGAGAAGGACAAAACTGTACGGTTCGCGTTCGCCTACAAGGAGGCGTGTTCTGTTTGGCATTACCTCCAGCTTTACTAAGACAATGATATTAGAATGGTGTTTCTCCCATTCACCCTCAGGCCCCTTCCACACAGCTGAATAAAATCCCACATTATCTGCTCTGAACTGGAATATGTAGCAGTGTGGACTCAAATAACCCATTTGTGGATTATATTCTGGGTTATATGACTGTGTGGAAAGGCCCTTAGGCTTCCCTTGC